TTGACACAAATGTTGATAATATTCACACTATCATGTGTCAAAGATAGTAGCTTTTGTTCCTATTCAAAGAATGATAAAATAACAGTGTGGGCGCACAATAGTTCAGTGACCATTTTTATCCGTCGCGCACTTCCGGCTCGAACAAAACCCCACTTAATTATCACAAAAACATCCGTTCCCTTGAAAATTAATATTTTTAATTGATAAATATGTATATATTGAGAAGCGTTGCCTTAGGGCCAGTTTTTTGATCCGTAGTAAAAAATGGTTTTACCATTTGTTACATTAACTATAGTTAAATGAATAACCATTGGTAAAATCGTAAATGCGTTTTTCAATGCCTTTTTAACTATAGTTAAACTTAACAATTTGTCAATTTGTTGCCAGTGCAATGAGCAATGACATCCCAAAAAATGTGGTTTTTTTTGTGGGGCACATTTATTTTGTATGACAACACTAGACATATTGAGTGAATGAAATCCATTTTTGCCATCTTCATTCGTTATTTGCGCTTTGAAGAGTTTGAAGTGTCAAATTAATCTAAATAACACGATATAAATAAAGTTTTTTTCTGTGATTTAATACGTTTACACTTTTTACGATACTTAAATATATAAATAACGATGTCCGCAAACAGCCAACGGTCAAATAAGTAAGTTCAAACATATTTTCGTGTTATTTATTCCGGTTTATTTGTTTTCGTAATAGAAGTAATAATTTTGTTTTGTTAGGACCATACTGCTAACTTCGCCAAAAAGAAACTGCCAAACTGGTGATGCTTCTCAAGGATTACACAGTCGTAACCTGCAAACAACTGATACTGCAGCAATCTACAAAAAGATGCAGCTTGGAAATCTCTGTGACGTTTTCAACTCAGATGGGTCTAGACACCGAAGTGTTAAATTTAATATACATTTAATGAAGGTGTAGGCACATTTTTATATTTATTCTTGTATAGCTGTGTCCTACAACAAAAGGAAAAAAATCTTTTAACCCTTTGGAAACAAGGAAGCGGATTATGATCCACACGGATAAAAAAAAAATTGAGTTTTTGAAACAAAGACAAATAAGAGAGGATGATTTGTTCAATTATGCTTAGGAAGAGCATCAAAAACATTTGCTGCACCAATGAGAGGCCCACCAAAAATTCATACTGCATAAAGAGAGGTGCACCAAAAAGTGATGCAGAATGGAAGAAAGGCACAATAAATATATGTAGAGCAAAAAGAGTTGCATCAAATTGAGGTGAAATGCAAGAAGAAACAATTAGAAAATATTTAATTGCTACTTTAGGGTTTCATGTAAATTTTGTAATGTTTTTTAATAAAAATGGTTTGTATTTAAGTTATAATTAAACAGTTTATTAATCAAGTCAAATGTTTTATTTATACATTCTTGTAATAAAGTAGATAGATGCTAACTCACAAATGTAATAAAAGCCCTAAAGAATATCATAGGTCCCTAACTAATGTGTAGTGTAGTTTTTAGTATAAGTACATACTTGTATGTACTACTTATAATAATTATAAGTTAATATTATTAGTAATATATAAATAATATTAACTCTAATTCATTATGTATTCTATTGCCTATAATATTAACTTATAATAATTATAAGTTAATATTATAGGCAATAAAACACATAATGAATTAGTAATATACTTAATTATATACTGCTGCGGTTCTGTAGCTAGTAATGAAGCAAAATAGGTTTGTATGAGCTGTGTCTATATATACTCTTGTTCTTGTATTTTATTTAATTATAATAATTATAAGTTAATATTATAGGCAATAAAACACATAATGAATTAGTAATATACTAATTATATACTGCTGCGTTCTGTAGTTAGTAATGAAGCAAAATAGGTTGGTATGAGCTGCTGTCTATATAACTCTTGTTCATGGCAGTTTAAGATCATTCCCAATTTCAGTAACATCAGAGCACTGTTCCCTTCGATAGGGGGTAACAGTGACAAAAATCTACATCATCCCAGGTTTCTAATGGCGGATGACATTGCCTAAATATTTGGTCACTCATTAACACATTCTCATATATTTCGTCTTCTTCATCGTCTCATTAATTAAAGTATCTCAATATTTTAAATTCATCATTAGATAGTAATAAACGTATTTATCATAGTTTGATTTCTGTGACAAACAGCTGTTAGTATATAAATTACCAGCGGCCATCTTTTTAACCCTCCGATACTGAGTAGTTAACTTTTTTGACTAATGTTAGATATTTACCATTGGATGCTTTAACGGATCAAAAACGCATTTTGCTGATATTTAACTAAAGTAACGATTTTTTACCAATATTGAGTTAACTACGGATCAAAAACCGGCCCTTAGGGCCAGTTTTTGATCGTAGAAAATTTACCATTTGTTACATTAACTAAGTTAAATGAATAACCATTGGTAAAATCGTAAATGCTTTTTCAATGCCTTTTTAACTATAGTTAAACTTAACAATTTGTAATTTGTTGCCAGTGCAATGAGCAATGACATCCCAAAAAATGTGGTTCTTTTTTGTGGGGAAATTTATTTTGTATGACAACACTACCACATTGAGTGAATGAAATCCATTTTTGCCATCTTCATTCGTTATTTGCGCTTTGAAGAGTTTGAAGTGTCAAATTAATCTAAATAACACGATATAAATAAAGTGTTGATAGACTTTTAGATACTTAAATATATAAATAACGAGTCCGCAAACAGCAACGGTCAATAAGTAAGTACAAACATTTTTCGTGTTATTTATTCCGGTTTATCTTGTGTTTCGTAAAGAAAGTAATACATTTATGTTTTGTTAAAGGGACCATACTGCTAACTTCGCCAAAAAAATAAACTGCCAAACTGGTGATGCTTCTCAAGGATTACAAGTCGTAACCTGCAAACAACTGACACTGCAGCAATCTACAAAAGATGAGCTTGAAATCTCTGTGACTTTTCAACTCAGATGGGTCTAGACACCGAAGTGTTAAATTTAATATACATTTAATGAAGGTGTAGGCACATTTTTATATTTATTCTTGTATAGCTGTGTCCTACAACAAAAGGAAAAAATCTTTTAACCCTTTGGAAACAAGGAAGCGGATTATGATCCACACGGATAAAAAAAATTGAGTTTTTGAAACAAAGACAAATAAGAGAGGATGATTTTTCAATTATGCTAAGGAAGAGCCTCAAAAACATTTGCTGACAATGAGAGGCCCACCAAAAATTCATACTGCATAAAGAGGAGGTGCACCAAAAAGTGATGCAGCAGATGGAAGAAAGGCACAATAAATATATGTAGCAGCAAAAAGAGTTGCATCAAATTGACGTGAAATGCAAGAAGAAACAATTAGAAAATATTTAATTGCTACTTTAGGGTTTCATGTAAATTTTGTAATGTTTTTTTAATAAAAATGGTTTGTATTTAAGTTATAATTAAACAGTTTATTAATCAAGTCAAATGTTTTATTTATAAATTCCTGTAATAAAGTAGGTAGATGCTAACTCACAAAATATGTAATAAAAGCCCTAAAGAATATCATAGGTCCCTAACTAATGTGTAGCTGTAGCTTTTAGTATAAGTACATACTTGTATGTACTTATAATAATTATAAGTTAATATTATTAGTATATATTATATAAATAATATTAACTCTAATTCATTATGTATTCTATTGCCTATAATATTAACTTATAATAATTATAAGTTAATATTATAGGCAATAAAACACATAATGAATTAGTAATATACTTAATTATATAGCTGCGGTTCTGTAGCTAGTAATGAAGCAAAATAGGTTTGTATGAGCTGCTGTCTATATATACTCTTGTTCTTGTATTTTATTTAATTATAATAATTATAAGTTAATATTATAGGCAATGAATTAGTAATATACTTAATTATATACGTGCGGTTCTGTAGTTAGTAATAGCAAAATAGGTTGGTATGAGTGCGTCTAATAACTCTTGTTATTGGCAGTTTAAGATCATTCCCAATTTCAGTAACAATCCAGAGCACTGTTGCCTTCTGATAGGGGGTAACAGTGACAAAAATCTACATCATCCCAGGTTTCTATGCGGATGACATTGCCTAATTTTGGTCACTCATTAACACATTCTCATATATTATCGTCTTTTCATCGTCTCATTAATTAAAGTATCTCCATATGTTTAAATTCATCATTAGATGTAATAAACGTTTTTATCATGTTTGTTTCTGTGACAAACAGCTGTTACTATATAAATTACCAGCGCCATCTTTTTAACCCTCCGATGAGTAGTTAACTTTTTTGACTAATGTTAGAATTACCATGGAGTCTACCACGGATCAAAAAACGCATTTTGCTGAATTTAACAAGTAACGATTTTTTACCAATGTTGAGTTAACTACGGATCAAAAACCGGCCCTTAGTGGTGCGGCTTTCAACCCTGAGGTCATGCGTTCAAATCCGGGTCAAGTTTTATAAGTGCATAATTACCACTTGCTCGTACGATGAAGTCCTTAGAACTAAGTTAAGGCCCAAAAATCGAAAGGTAGGCAAAAATTTCTGATCATAATTGTCAGTAAAAGAAATTGATGCAATCTGACGCCAAGAAGAGCGCCACTGAATAAAAACTTTTTTTTAATATTATTATTGTGACAGTTAAAGTAAGTAAAAAAATAGGTTTAAATAAAACACGTTATAAAACATTTTTTTTATTAATTAGTAAAATTGTAAATAACGATAAATAAAAATTTCAATTAACAAGGTAAAAAGCAGCGTTTTAATAAATTAATTGAAGCTTTAGTGGGAATGTACGTATTGATAGGAACTGGCGGACTCGCGTACTCAATGGCAAGCTTAAAGTATACATGTTTAAAACGTGATTACACACATTGAAATTTCTAGATTTTTATTTTATTTTCTGTATTAATTGTACTTTAATAAAGCAAGTCCGATCTATCTATACCATAATTGCATAGAAAACTCATTTTCAATATTAGGATTGTTAATTATACATCATTACTTTGTCCCAACAGATGTTACAGCTGTTTTAGTGCGTGTTACAGCAGTTGAAGAGTTCGCTGTTCTAGCAGTGGTACCCACTTTCTTCACCGTCGTTGTTGTAGTAGTTTTCGATATTCCATTTGGAAGTTGCTTAACATCAGAGTCCACATAAACTTCTTCCGACGCCTTTTGGCTCTTTTCATGAGCGTTAGCGTTGTGAACTTTTCTATCGACACTTTGTACAAATCCTTCCTTCTTAATCAGTTCACTGCTGTGTTCTTCATTGGAAGAGGCACCCCGTTCTCCGCTGTCTGATACGCGGATAACTCCATTTTGAACTGGTATCACTTCACTATTCCCATAACGTTCATAGAAATTGTTTTCATCTACTTTCTCAATGGTATATGAACCACGCCTTTGGTTTTGTTCGGGTACCCATACGATGTCTTGGGTCAATGTCTCTTGAACGGGTTCGGGTGTTGCTGTGTTACTTCTGATCTCGTGGGATCTCACTTGAGTAACATGACTCCGGGCACCGTCTACTGTTTCTGTTACATTCCTTTCCAATTTGTTATAATTGGCGTTAGTGGTATTTCTGACTTCATTAGGACGTGGCTCAATTGGTTTCAACTGTCCGAGTAATGGGGAATGTTTAATGCCAAATGTTATTTTTGTTGACTTGTCTAACTGAACCTGAAATTTAAAATTATAAACTTTATTGAGGAAGAATGTGTAAAAATGACATTAAATTAGTTCTAATTTATCGATTAATATTTAAATAAACAAAATTTTAAATTACAGCTCATTGCTTGGCTTGTTTTAATCTAGTGGACTGTACAGTGTACACCCATAGTTCGCTGGTTCAGATCCGGCTCGAAGGACCAAAATGTACGGTTACTGGGTCATCGGGGTGTTAAATAAATGTAATGTAAATGTTGAAGAGAGTGCCTACGTGTGGCTGTACTCTCGGGGCGTAAAACTCCGACAATTTAGGTAATCGCCACGCTTATAAAACTAAGATAGCATGAGTGAGCAAAATGTACAACCTCGGTTCGTACAAAGACTTGACACTATATTTTTTCATTTTAAGATATCTTTCCTCCTCTAATAATAATTTATTACATTTTCTAATTTTATGGGATGGCGGTTAATTAATGCTGTATACTCATCAGTATATTTTCGGTATAATATGAATTTATTCAAAAATGTTACATAAAGCCTTTGATACAAGAAACCGACAACTGCCTTTACGGCTGATGTAAAATTGGAGTAAAATTTAAGGGTAACGCAGAGGTTCTTCTTCCGTTCTACGCCCTTTGAGAACTGGCAGTAAATGTAAATTTAGAAGCATTAACTTGATCTATATGAAAAAATGATATTTTGACTGATATGGCGAAACTTGATCAGAAAGTTGTACAAGTATAACATTTACATTTTGTTTGCCGATTGCCTTGATTTAGCAAACAATTTTCCCAGTTAATTTTCATTGTAATGTATAATAGTACCTTTTCTGGTGAATATGTTCCTGGAGCTGGTACTTTGGCACGATCATCAACGGGTATTTTGTGACGTCCGGCAAATGTGTACACAGGAGAATCCAGGACTGAAGGTACACGATATGTGTTGGGCGCTACAAAATATAATTAAATAGTTTATTGGTGTTGGGCGTACCCTGTGATTACTGATTCTAAATTAAAATATTCTTGACATTTACTAATCTTTTGAAGATGTAGTTTCCGTAAAAATATTATGTTTTTTTAGCAATTTTAGCCAGGAACTAACATTAATTGTGATTTTCTATAATATAACAAAATCATTAAGGGGCATATTAATAAAATTATTAAGTTATTCTAATCACGTTTAACTGAAAATATACAATTTGAGTTTAAGAATCTTTATATCTTCTGTGCATATGTTTGTAATTAATCTTTTCCTAAACGACTGGGCCGATAACGACGAAATTCTGTGCTGTTGAACATTCTGCTCCTCAGCATAATGCTGAGCCAGGGCCAATCACAGCCACAGCACACACGCATTACACACATGAAACGAACCGAATAGGAAAAGGGATTTTTTTTAAATACCTTATTTTTAGAAAAAACTGTTTGACCGGATTGAAGTTATGTATTATTATAAATTTACAACTATTTAACATAATTTTAAATTTATCCGACGTTTCGCGTGCTTTACAGCGTGCGTGGTCACGGTGACTAAAAATTATGTCACTCGACAATAGTTTACATTCACAATTAGAAGGTTTTTTGCTATTACACAAAGTCTGTCAAGTCCACTAGTAAGATTTTAAAATTTGATATAACTTTACACGAGATAAGAATTAAGAACTGACCTGGTGTTTCTGCATATTTGTCTGTCTGTATTTTAACTCCAAAGGTGTATTGCGGAGAATACGTCAAAACGAAATTGTAACTCTTCTCTGGGTCATAACTACCAGGAGCTGGAACCTTCAAACGCTCATCGATCGGCTCCTTATGTCTCCCAGATATTGTATACAATGGCGTCTTCACGGGCGTAGGAATCGTGTAACTGTTGGGCGCTGAAAAATTTAAAAAAATAAACTATATTTTTATACTAGTAATACTAGACTGTGAGCAGTGTTGGCCTAGTGGCTTCAGCGTGCGACTCTCATCCCTGAGGTCGTAGGTTCGATCAGCTGTGCACCAATGGACTTTCTTTCTATGTGCGCATTTAACATTCGCTCGAATGGTGAAGGAAAACATCGTGAGGAAACCGACATGTCTTAGACCCAAAAAGTCGGCGTGTGTCAGGCACAGGAGGCTGATCATTTACTTGCCTATTAGATTGAAAAATGATCATGAAACAGATTCAGAAATCTGAGGCCCAGACCTAATATGTACTTAATATGCATATGGAGTCTGAAAGAGAACAGTTGTGAGATTTGTGGTCACAGCAGTGTTTCCTTTGTTAAGTGCCACTGTTACGTCATTATAGTTCGACAGTCATCATATTGACCCTCAATATGTAAGATTTTTTTTGTGAATCGATCGAATCATGTGGAATAATATTATTATAGTCGATGCATTATGAACTGAGGCTTCGGATCATATTTATCTGTCTGTCTCGCTCACACTTACGGGTGGAGAGGTGTAGTGATGTGCGTAAAGGTCAGTACTCACATACGTTATTACTCGATAGCTTTACTCGAAGTCGAGTAAAAATCAACTTGTGGACCGAAAAACTCACAGCTCGAAGGCTCGCACCGAGCCGGCTCGATGGAATTAAATGAAAGTAATTTCCTTCGAACCTACTGGAAGCGAGCCGTCAATCTTGACTTGAACGTGTGTACGTGACTGCGAGTGGCGCGAGGCGAGCGTCAGTCTGGTACTGTTTATCGTGATTGAAACACGTGTTTTTAAGAGAAATGGATTTGCGAGTTTATTCCAAAAGCGCTATAGAAGACTTTATTAACACATATAGACAGTGTGAGTGTTTATGGAATGTCAAGTCCAAAGATTACTCCCACAATAATAAGAGAAATGAATGTTATGATAAATTACTAGCTGTGCTTAACGTTTTTATTTTAATTTTCTTTGATTTTCTTATAAAGCACTGTGAGACTTGCTAAATACAGCCACCGTCTCCTTTGTTGCACAGACATCCCTTGGCTCGAACGGTTCGGTGAATACTGAACGGTACGTCTCACTCGATAGATCAATGCTCAATGTGTGGACTAAAGCCCATGCCATAGGTTTTACTCGATAGTTTAGCTCGATCGAGTAATACCGTATGTGAGTACCTTTAGAATTTAAGAGGTGCAAATCGATAACGGGATAGGTACGACGGAAATGCTAAATTATGCACATTCCTACTGTCAGTCACATTGATTGCCCCAACGACTCAGTTTAAAACTCAGTCGACTTTAGTTTGCATAGCTACCAAAAACAATATCCTAAAGTTATAAACTAATTGTCGTATTTTGATCTTTTTTTGGTTGATTTGTCAGTCAAAAATCATTTATTCATGTTACCCACACAATGTACACTTATAAACGTCAAAAAGAAATATACATTAAATGCTTCTAATTTTACATTTACTGCTAGTTCTCAAATCGAAAGAACTGGCAATAAACTCTCCGCCACTCTTTTTAATCGCCAAGTTTATGTGTTTTACACAACGTTTGTAAGTTTAAGCTAAGTTGTGAGTTTGTAAGGAGCTGCAACCATTACACCATGTTCCACATGACATCTTAAGTAATAAATAATAATAAAATAATAACAAAGATTTGTCTTCTATCAGCAGGAGGCATAGTGAAATAGGAGCACGCACTTGCATTCTCGTGGGAACAACACGCAAATACATAGTCGAAACATCTAACATCACCGCATACACGAATTCAAGTACGACCAGTCACCACAAGTAGCACCCGTTCACGAGTATGACGCATGGCCAGCCATCGGCCCCCTCGCCATATTTTAGAGAGAGAGACAACCCGACGCATGGACGCGGTTGTGGTTAGATAAATGTAAAAAAAATAACTCACCTGGGGTATCAGGGACTTTAAAGTTATCCGATTTTATCCTAAATGTGTACTGAGGTGAGCTGTGCATCATCACTTTGTCAGCTTTATCCGGGTTGTATGAATTAGGCGCAGGAACATTGTCGGGCTTCGGAGGTTTCGTTTTAATCCTAAATGAGTACCGAGGTGAATTGTCCAACAATATTTTATCAGCTTTTTCTGGACTGTACACGTTAGGGGCAGGAAAATCACTGGTCTTAGCATCTTTCCCTTTCGGGTATAGTGAGTACATTGGCCTCTTCTCAAATATCACTTTGTTTGCAGTTTCAGGATTGTAGGCGTTAGGGGCAGGATTATTAACAAGCTTGCTATTTTCTATTTTTGGCCTAAACGTGTACGCTGGTCCCGCCTGATGTGTGATTTTATCTCCCTTTTCGTGGTTGTAACAATTAGGTGCCGGGGTATCCGGAATCTTTCCGTTCTCTGGTTTTTGACGGAAGGTAAAGGCTGGAGAATGTCCGTGAATTACGTTATCCGCCTTTTCAGGGTTATAAGCGTTAGGAGATGGGTTATTTGAAGGTTTATCGGCTGGACCTTTCACTCCAAAGCTGTATTTTGGGGATTCGCTATGCTGATTTGGATCATAGGCAGTCGGTCCAGGAGTGTCAGATATTTTATCTGGTTTACCTTTACCTGCTATTGTAAACTTAGGTGTGTTATCCAATACATGAGGGTCATAAACGTTAGGGGCTGGTACATCAGATACTTTTGAATCAGGCCCTTTGCCAGACATAGTATATCTGGGGGAATTTAAGGGCAGATGCGGATCATAAGCTGCCGGTCCAGGTGTCTCTGAAGGTTTAAATGTCAATCCTTTTCCTAACATAGTAAATTTAGGTGTACCATTTTGCAAATGAGGATCATACGCATTGGGGCCTGGAACATCAGGGAATTTCCCATCAGGGCCTTTTCCAGACATTGTATATTTTGGAGTACTATTTGGTATCTGAGGGTCATAGTGATTGGGTCCTGGCGTACACATAGGCTTGCCGTCGCGACCTTTTCCTCCTAAAGTGAATTTAGGAGAATCTTCTGGTAAATGTGGATCATAATTATTGGGTGCAGGTACATCTGATGATTTTTCAGATGGTCCCTTTCCTTGCATTGTATACTTTGGCGATCCGTCTACAATCCTCGGGTGATACGCGTTTGGAGCTGGTGTATCAGACGGTTTTGAATCAAGGCCTCTTCCGTATAAGCTAAACTTGGTACTTCCATCAAGTAATTGTGGATCGTATACATTAGGGGCAGGAGTATCGCTGGCTTTTTCGATTATATTCTTAAGGCGAAATGTATATGCCGGAGTACTTTCCTGAAGTAATTTATCGGCTTTATCAGGAGAATACGCGTTAGGAGCTGGCGAATCATCAATTTTTGAAGGAGGCGCTTTTCCAGCCATCGTAAACTTATGTGAACTATCCAACATATGAATTGATTTTTCAGGTGCATAGACATTTGGTGCTGGTGTATCATTAATTTTTACAATCTCTTCCTTGGTGCGAAATGAATAAGAAGGTGATGACTCGTGTAATAATCTATCAGCTTTGTCCAGGTTATATACGTTTGGAGCGGGATTATTAGAGATTTTTTCTGATGGACCTTTTCCGCTAATCGTGAACTTAGGAGCACTATCTAAGGCATGAATAGATTTCTCCGGCGCATAGACATTTGGCGCCGGTGATTCACTTCTCACAACGTAGTGATCTTTGGTTCTGAAGGAATATGATGGAGTACTTTCGTGCAATACTTTGTCTGCTTTCTCAGGCTTATAGCTATTCGGAGCTGGGGTTTGTTCAATTTTTGCAGAATAACCTTTGCCCGATAAGCTGAACTTAGGCGTACTATGAAATACTTGAATGGACTTTTCTGGTGCGTACAAATTAGGTGCTGGCGTCTGCTCTATCTTCTCTATAACTTCTTTAGAACGCATAGTGTAAGCAGGTGATTTTTCATGCAACACCTTGTCTGCCTTTTGGGGATCGTATGAGTTGGGTGCTGGCGTCGTGTCATGTTTCTCCGCTAATCCCTTTCCAGCCAGGGTATACTTTGGTCCATTTTTAAGTGCATGAAGGGACTTTTCAGGTGAATAAATGTTTGGCGCGGGAGCGTCGCCAGTTTTAACTGTCACGGATTTAGTACGGAATGAGAAAGCCGGAGATTTTTCCCTTAAAAACCGCTCAGCTTTCTCTGGGTTATAAGCATTTGGTGCGGGTATTTGCTCACGATGCTCACTCTTCATTCTACTCGAAAATGTATGTTTAGTTTCGATACGTTGGTACTCAACCTGAAATCCACAATTAACAATGTAACAAGTAATGTAAGGAATCCTGGGGAAAATATATTACAGGGTCTGATTTAATTCATACTTTTTAAAACTTTTTTTCCAACCAACCCAGAACAATTGTTTCTCCAGAAATCAAGTGTGCATTTGTTTTCGAGTTAATCACGTGAATAAAATTACAAAACAATATACCTCTTATCTTCTGCCATTTTCCGTAAATCGTGAACAAATTAAAATCAATATAAATAAACATACTTCAATTTAATAATAATCTTAGCACTTAGCGAAAGTCTTCATTAGCTTGTTAGTAGCATGATAAGTTAGGTGGTGATTTCTTCAGGCGCGGCGTAATAGGCCGACTGACCGGCGAATGGTGAATGACGAATGCCAAACGTATGCGCTGGAGCCCATGGCAAATTCACGCAGACCTGTTATTCGCACCCGTATTAGTATAATGATATTGTTAATTAAGCATGGATAAGTTAGACCATTATGTGTACTGATTCTAGCCGAAGATTCAGAGAGCGAGGTCGGAGAAAATTTTTCTTTATAGAACAGGGGAAACGGGCAGAAGGCTCATCTGATGTTAAGTGATACCGCCGCCCATGGACACTCTCAATGCCAGAGGGCTTGCGGCGTTTTAAGAATTAGTACGCTCTTTACCTAGTACTTCTCTTTAGTAAGGACCCAAAGTCGAATTGGTTCGGAAATACTTCGGTGGTTCTGTTTCCATATAGTGGTGGTGCGCGGCAGAAACAGCCTTCAAATAACGCAGAACGGGAATTATAGGTCCCTATAAGTCTCGACTCTGAATCTTACCCTAAAAGACAACTACTTGATCTTGTATTGATTAATTGAGCTGATTAGATTTTTAAAAGCAAGGTGCTTTTTTTTTTTTTTTTAAGACAATTCACACCAATTGACCTAGCCCCATGCTAAGCTGGTGAAGCTTGTGTTATGGGTACTAGGCAACGGATATACATACATATTATAGATAGATAGACGTATAAATACATATTTTTAAACACCCAAGACCTAAGAACAACACCAAATGCTCATCACATCGATGTCCGTCTCAGCCGGGGATCGAACCCGGGACCCATGGATTCGCAGTCAGGGGTACTAACCACTAGACCAATGAGTCGTCAAATTTTACAATGTGAGAGTATTTAGATAATAAGTTTTGACAACAATTATTAATCTTAACTGTCCTTATTATTATGATAATTATAAGTCATTTCCTTGCCTATTTTTATATGGCCCATAGTGGGTTTTTTTTTATTTATCAATTTGAATGTACCACTTTCTTTTCAAATAAACTGCTTATTATTATTACAATTTAGAGCCAGTTGTTACATACACGCAAAAAAATTTTAATAATAAAAGGCTAATTTTTCCAAATCACCAATAGATTTCTTAAGGCTTCATTTTAAAACTCATGGGTCTTAGCGAGCTAATAATTACATCTAAGTTATAAACAGTTGAAGGTACGTTAAGCGACTGGAAAATCGAATGAAAACATAGAAATAATACACATCAAAAGAAATCTATAACGCAAATTATTTTTTTATTTATTTATTTAAATAGATGAAAATGAAAGTGAAAATTAGAAGCACCTCTAACTCAAAGCAAAAATCCATAAGAAATTATCTATCTAACATAAAATAATAAATTACACCCACAAACCCAAAAATTATAGTTAAATGAATATATAGAAAATACTAATAACTACCTTTTCTGGGCAATAAACACCCGGGCCAGGCACAGATGCAGATGGCTGCTTAACTTCTCTCCTTGGAGCCATTGTATAAGCTGGTTGCCTCCTCGTCGTCGCAGTAGCGGCCTTGTCCGTTGTATAGCTCCCAGGGCCAGGCAAGGGCGTCTTCGACTCAACAGCTTTTCCTCTACCGGTGATGCTAAAGGCGGGCGCTGCCCGTTTGCTTCCCTCTCGAGCCTCACCGAGCACCGGCGGCATCGAATATATATTCGGAGCTGGAAACGCAAATAACCAAATATAAAAATAAATACAAAAGCTGCGTGTTTTTTTTTCTTAATTTATTTATTAATACTTCGTTACATTACAAATAAAAACAAGACATAAATGATAAGGAGCCAACAGGCGGCCTTATTGCTCTTCCAGGCAACTCTAGTAAGGAAAAAAAAATCTAAGGGTAAAGTGCAACAAATAAAAAATAGAATTACAAGTAACACTGAAAAATTATACAATTACCAAACTTAATTATAAAATAATAAAGACAAACTAAAACCTAAAAGCTAATCCAATGGTTCACGAATCACAATTCAAAATGCAATACAAAAGAATAATTATGTTTTTTACATTATATATATTTACAAAAAAAACCATCACAATTCACATCGCAGCAAATGATCACTAAGTTAGTGTATTCTGTATAAGTGAGATGTGTAATAAAATAAGCCGATACTAAAATAATTATTAATAATTTTTTTTATGAAAGTGGTTTTAAGGTTTTTCTGTGCAATTTTTCTCACCATAAAAACCTTCCTCAGAGTGCAAGGAATAAAAAACTCGAATTTGTTCAGCCGTCTTCGAGCTTTGCGCTTAGCAACATATTTTGCAATTCATATGGAATACTTCGTTACAAGAAACAATGCCATTGCTATCTATATCCGGAAGTAGTCACGACCTTGTCAAGCAAATCTAGCCACAAATACCACGCAAATAATACGTCATAATCTATTGTGTTTACAACAAATAAAATGAACATCAAAACATGCAAAGGACAGTTTAAACATACGATAAACCAACCAAGTGCTAATGAGTGAACGAATACAAAAACAATTGACAACTAGTGAACGTTGCTAAGTGAATGAGAGTGAACTACAATTTGGCGAATGATGTAACCGGCCACCTGGTGTTTTACTGCCAGCTTGAGGCATACTGACGCGAAGGCCAATCGAAAACGCTGGTGCGTGGTCAAGCACCGCTTTCGCCGCCTTACTGGGCTCGTAATCGCATGGGGCGGGCGTAGGTGCCAACTTCGGTGGAGGCCATCTTCCATGTAAAGATGCCGCAGGGCCCAGTGCCCTTCCTATTAGCACAAACACCTTATTAACCTTAAGGGTTCAAAATTTCATGAAACATATTTTTATATAAAAACTAGCTTCAACTACTAACTTTATCGTAGAGGAGTGAAAATTAAGGGTTGTATGTATTTTTATATGCTGTATCATAAGAAAATAAAACAGTAGCCGATTCTCAGACTTACTGAATATGCATAAAAAAATTCATAAGAATCGGTCGAGCCGTTTCGGAGGAGTATGAAAACCAACATTGTGACACGAGAATTTTATATATTAGATATATGTAATCTAACTATCTATTCTATCAAACATTAAATCAATTCGTATTCGATATAATACGTATACAAAACAAGGACTATCACCATTTCCGTTATAAAGATAATTTTAACCGGCTTCTTTAAGAATCCCTCCCCCGTATGCACAATTGTTCCATGGTCCTCTTACGAACACGAATTATCTGCGTAATTCGCCAATATAATATGCGGTTTTAGCTAATTACAACGCAATTTATAAAGATGTGCACTTTTTCCACCTACCAAAGGTTGTGAGGAAATATATAAGAAGCGGGAAGAATTTAACTGTATTAGCAGTAGTAACAATTTAATTTTTTCTTTAATGTTTAATTAACTTTGATTTTCGTATATTTTATTTATTGTCTAAGTGTTTTCTTTTTTAATATGGATATGTGTAGCTGAAATATTACTTTTAAATAAATAATTAAAAACTCGAAGCTATATAAAATTGTGCGTGTATGTATTTCTTAAATTTAAGTAAGATTAGATTAGATTATGCTTTGAATAAGTAATATTAATATCACAACCGAGAAAAACTATTTCCAAACATACCTATATTTTATGACAGGGCTTTTTAAGCGCCAAGATAAACCTTTAAACACAGTAACGCACAAACACTGATTATTTTTACTGAATAAAAACACAAGTTTGAAGCCTCGCGGACACTGTATGAATGTGGATCGAACTGAATCGAACACCTACGCAGCTGTTGACTCATGCGATCACCTTCAAGTATGAGGACTTATTTGGCATCGTATGCACAGGAAATCTGCTCATTCAATGTCAACAAAAGCTCAATGTTACTTCCATTCACAAAATTCGCAATAACACCAAACTGTTGTTATAATAATAAAGCCCGTTTATTCCCGATCTTTACAAATGTTGCCAATAAAGAGTTTACATTTATTCCATTCCCTTCTATATCACTACACAGTATAAAACAAAGTCGCTTTCTCTGTCCCTATATCCCTATGTATGCCTTAATCTTTACAACTACGTTACGGATTTTGATGCGGTTTTTTAAATAGATAGAGTGTATATCTATAATAAGGTTTGGTAGGTAAGGTAGGTTTATATGTATAATAATATCCATTAAATAGTGGAGAAATACCGTTATTTTCGAGGTCTCTTAAATAATTACATTTTTTCCGCTTACATTGCAAACGCAGGCTGAACCCTACGAGATTAATAAAAATATCCAAATTTAACGCGTGCGGGCCACGGGCAGTAATGAATAGATCAAAACTACTGGATCGATTTTAATCATTTTTTAAGTGAGTGACATAGGCTTTAGGTATATTTTATACCCGTGCGAAATCGGAGCGGGCCGATATGTTTTTATATCCAACGTTCACAGTTTTCTGTAGTGTATTTAGTATCAGCATTGTTGGAAAAGGCATCGAGCCTTCTCCGAATTGTTGAAATAAAATTGCAGGAAAATATTCGAGTCTTATCAAGATAATGTAAATTAACCATTTACTCAAACAATCCATCCAAGAATTCAGGAAACAAAGAATTTAGATCTAAATTGGTGATATTTATTTATACATTCACGACAGACAGAGACGATGGATCTTCACTTGCTACGGTCCTGCCATACCAATCTCGCTTCATCTACCCACTTTCATGACATCCACCACGCCCGCTCGTGAGTTATGGGTACCTTTGACCTGTCCCTTCTCTAGTACCTTCTGGATTTAGTCCAGGTATATACGACCTACCCGACCGGACCTACAACTGTATTCTTATTTTAAAACAAATAGTTATTGTTAGCCCTATTACAGTAATAGAAGTAATAGACTTTAAACTTAGTTTGTTCAATTTTAAATTTAATTAGTTTTAAGTATATTATTCTGTACTGAGACTCCATGTTATATTAGACGTAAAATATATGTTAAATTTTATACAAAACAACGTTTAGTATTTCAATATGGAAACCGCGCATTACTTTCATGCTTTAGAATTGCATTTATATCCGGTTCCGTATGTAAAACGGAAATAAAGCACTGCAGATGTTTATGTAAATAAGACTGCAATGACCTACATAGGGCTACACGTAACTTATTAAAATAACATTTTACGTAATTCTTTGAATCCAAATCATATAGGCCGTGTCCGTGACTTACATATTTACCTGATACAATTACATACATACACTACAGCACCACGTACATTTAAAAATAAACCTATCAATAAAATTATAAAATATAGTGTTATATATGTCGCAGCCAACTAGCTTATGTAGCCGTCATTAACATTGAACGGCGCTGTGAAGGAGACTAGGCAATTAATTAAACGGCTAATTAATCTAGTTGGCTGCGACAGGTATATCATTGGTCTATTATAAGTTTTAAATCTGTTCGCCGTCCTGGGGGACAGAAAAAATATGCCACCGGACTATTGTAAACATTTATGATTATTTATAGGTACAATAAATAAAATATGTAGTATTAAGGAACACATTTAGTTACTAAGTTCGCTAGAATAGTTTTATTATTAAAGTGTCACATTGATTTTTGTATAATTTGTAAGTCTCCACTTCATATTTTCACATAGACACTGCTGTTAAACGAAAACAGTCTAATGAATAAATTTGAATAACATTTGCTGTGCATATTTTGTATGCAATAAACTAAATTTGATCCAATCTCTCTATTTTGCGTCTTATTTTGCAAATAGAACTTGACTTTTGTAATCAACATGCATATATGAAACGAGTAGAAGTAGCCAAGTGGTATGCGCGTGCGCTTTTCAACTCTAAAACCGATGGACCACCAATGGACTTTGGACTGCTGAGTTTCATCATCTGACGTCGTTGTAGAATACGAAATTCCACCCGTATCGCCTCGTTCGTTGTTCCACAACAGAGCGTTATTTAAAGCAGTTTTTCCACACACCACCACTATGTGAAACCAGCTGCCCACTGAATAAATTCCGAACCAACAGTTTAATATGGCTATACGATTGCTTGTAGGCAATTCGGATAGACCAAAAAAAGCTGGTGCTTTAACTGTGCTCAAGCACAGGTTTAGGTTTTGAATTGTCGACGACCACTCACTTTCCGAGCGGCTTGATTCCTTGGCGTTTGCGTAGATATGTGGGGTATCTGCATCTTCTACCGCATTTACCATGGAGTGTTCAGAGGAGTTGTTCGGGTTACTACCTGCACTGAGTTTCATCATCGGACGTCAAGGCAGAATACGAAATTCCACCCGTATCACCTCGTCCGTCCAGACAGTTTTGCCACCACTATGTAGAACCAGCTGCCCACTGAAGTATTTCCGAACCAATTCGACTTAAGGTCCTTCAAGAGGAGAGCCTACCAATTCTTAAAAGCTTGGCAACTTGCGAGCCTTCTGGCAATGTGAGTGTCCATGGGCGGCGGTATCACTTAACATCAGGTGAGCGTTCTGCCCGTATATAAAAAAAATTGTTCTCTGGTGCACGGACTTGTGAATGAACAACCAAAGTTAAGAGACAAACAAAGTTATTGTATCAGTTACAAATAAGTATTGTAACCATAAAAATATTGTGCAGACAATTTGTGTAGATAAATTCGATTATTTAATTGAACAAAATAGTTGACGTTATTGGATAATTGTTTCGTAGTAAATTGGTATCAAACAAACAATTAAGCGGGCCATAGACGGACCGCATGTTGCAGTCGAGACCGACTGCATTATGCGGTCGTGTTGCAGTCGTGTACGACGAATAAATAATCGAATTTATCTACACAAATTGTCGAAACTCGACCGCAGAGCGACTGCTCCGACCGCTCAGAAACTTGTCGTGCGGTCCGTGTATGGCGGATATGAATTTATTATGGAAACTGCAGTTCGCCGTGCGGCGACCGCTTAGAGCGCTTAGAGCGGTATCGACTGCAAAATGCGGTCGGTCTATGGCCAGCGTTAAAAGAAGCATTATATGTATGGTGTTTGTATACTAAAACGCTTTGGCTTTGGTTTTAAAATATTAACACCGCTTTTACTTTGTATCAGCGATGTTTTAAGCAATTGCGATGTAGATCTCTCAATATCCGTAACGCAAATAGAAATACAGAGTAACGACGCAGATTTGATAGTTCTGCGATAAAACTTAGCAACAATATGAGCAGCAAGCTGTAGCGATTCCAATTACTATTCTAATAAGTTTTTGTACGTCTCTAGATTTTTTTTAATAACTTTATTCATATAGGTAACTAAGTACACTTATGAACGTCAACAGAAAATATGTTTAATTGATAATAAAACAATTTTTTACCGGATTGAAGTTATGTATTTACAACTATTTAACATAATTTTAAATTTATCCGACGTTTCGCGTGCTTTACAGCGTGCGTGGTCACGGTGACTGAAGACAAAAGGTGTTGAGTGTCAAAAAGTATCACAGCTGTAAAAGTTGTATTATCTGTATTTGCTTCCCCGGAGTTGGTATCGACTAAAAGATGGAGGGTTTTGGCAGAAATGGCTCACGGTGTCCTCTATTTTCGCGGATTGTAAATACATAACTTCAATCCGGTTAAAAATTGTTTTATTATCAAATGTGTGAAAGTTATGTCAATAAAAGACAATACTATTTTAAATTGATTCTAAATTTACATTTACTACCAGTTCGCAAGTCAAGAGATTACAGCGGGCAAGAAACTCTCCCCTACTCTTTTTAATCGCCAAGTTTTGAGTCATACAAACTTTTTACCTCGTAATTCCAAGTTTATGATGTCAGCTACAATATTAGTACATCAAAATTGTTTTTGCGTAGATGACGTAATTAATATTGGATTCGAAAATTGTTGCTAATTAATAATAGATATCAAAATTTGGTATCTTTTTAGGGGTAAGATACACGTATAGACTTGATACACTCTTAGAGAATATCTGTACAATTAAATTACACGGCCTTATACTAACAATACCGAACATAACGTACCTTTTGAGGTCATCCCCTCAGTGTTGTATGAAGCGGGGCCCGGTCCTGTCTTTTCCTTCCCTGCGGGATCCAACTTTTGCCCGAATGTGAATGCTGGTGCACGGCTCTTACGAGATTCTTGCGGTGGCTTGCCTATGTAATGAAATTTTCATATAAATTTCTAGCTTACTCCGTCTTTTGTCTTAAGAGTCGAGCCTTTTTTTTATATAATAAGGGGGCAATCGAGCCTACGGGACGCCCATTGTAAGTGGGTGCGTTGCCGGCCTTTGAGGGAGGAGTAAACTTACCTTTAAATTACCTCCCTATGTAAAATCTAATAATACTTGATATGCGGAAGTCACACTTAACGCTCACTTAATCTCAATGCTTATGTATATCTATCATTTGTTTTTGCATTGCCATTATGTTTACGTTATGATAAAAGGTCACGTCAAAAGCTGCTTACACATACAACCGTAAACAAAAAACCTACAAATACATACAAGTTGTTCTGTAGAGTATTAATGCGTGTATTACCACGATATTAACTAGAATATAAAAAAATAGAAACTTATTCGTCGAAACCATCAATCAAGAATAAAAAAGGATAAACCTCTTTTAAGTGTTCGTAGGTGTTGTTCCTTCCATTTCCGGAACGATCTCCTTCAAACCAGATTATAACATGCCCATATTTGACTGAGTGGTTTTTTAATTTAAACAAGCTGACTTTCTCGCATCTGTTTTATTATAATGCTTAAAAACAAGATGGAATTAAAATAGAATTCAATATTGTTCGACGATAAAGATAGTTTTGTAGATTTTTTATCGACAAAGTTTATATGAAAAATGGCTTAGGCGATTAAAAATAGATAATTAAACGCCATTCAACAAAACAACATATGTACTTACTTATAATTAACTATACAACGTAAATACCAATATTGCAGTTTATCTTGAAATCCTTACACATACTCAAATAGCTCATTCAAATCACTTAATCATAACTTTAAATAAATTACTAACACCATTCACATTTCACGGTGTCTTTCGTCATAATATTGTTTTTTGAATTGTAATAAAAACATATTATAGGATACAAGTCTAATAGTTAGGGAGGCGAATAGGTGAATTTTCTGTAATACTCGAGCGTGGCAGTTTAAGATATGAGAGACCTTAGACCTAATAGAACAACCTTGTAAAGTATTTAGCTCTATATGTAGTGACGCGCGCCTAGGATAGACGATCAGATTAGTAAAAAAAAATCGATAGTCTGCAATACTCGAGCACGTCAGATTAAGATATTGGGGGTTGATTTTAGTGTTTTAAGACTAAATTTAACTAATCTGACGATAAGTCCTTGACGCCGCCGAGTTATAGGGTCGCGAACTTGTAAAAAAAAACGTTAATCCTGGCATTCTCGAGCGCGATTTTTATTTTTTTATTTTGAAGAATATAATCTAAAACTTACTAAAAATAGAAAATCTGCCTGTTTCCGCATGACCGGAAGTGTGGAGGAGCCATTTCGTCTTCCGAAAAACGCGTTGCGGCATATAAGTCGCGAACAATACATTTTACAAAAAAAAGTTTAAATAAACAAAAAAGGTAATTTTATTTTACACAAAAAAGGTCTCTTTACATTTTTGTCCAAAGTTAAAACTTTTTGACGTATTTTAGTAAAACTTTAGACGGTTTTTTGAGTATATCTCGAAAACTGAGGGTGTTAAAAAAATTAATATGAAATAACGATGGTTAAATTATGTGACTTTAATTATATCTCAAATTTTTTTTTTTTCTAAAGCTTCTCGACATATTTCGTGGACTCGGAAAAAGTTACGCGTATCTGTATACAAAAGTATTATTAACATGTACAGTTTCATGTATGTATATTATTCAATAGCCTGTTGATCCTCAAATTGTTTTTTGGACGTACCGTAAGCAAAACGAAGTGAAGAATTGAAGCAAAAAAGAGGAATTTGCCATAAACATGTAATACAGACTGAGTGCTTCGCGGAAATATGCCGTCCTACCAGTATTTTTCCTTTATTTCGCAACATTGATGGTGGGGAAAGAAGAAAAAAGAAACTAAAAACCCTTTTTCGGTCAGATTAAGAGAACCCACCAACATTTTTGTCAGATTAAGAAAATATCCTTTTAGGATACCGAGATAAACCTCCCCTATGAAAATCTGACGCGCTCGAGTATTTCAAAAAAACTTTATTTTTTGCATTTTCAAAAATTCATCGTTACTTATCGTCACGCCGAAATCGTCAATCGTTTTTTTTTAGGGAGCTTCCTTGGGGCCTACTTAACACCCCTTTCGAAAATCTGACGCGCTCGAGTAATTTTTTTTTTTTGCATTTTTGACTACTTTATATGCCTACCCCCACCACTCAAACCGGCAGATTAGTATACCGTTGTTATCAGAGGCACTTGGGGCATACGTAGTATGAATATCTGACGCGCTCGAGAATGCCCAAGTAAATGTTTTTTTTAACATTTTTGAAAAACCGTACACGCCAAACCCACCGCTAAAATGGTTTTTACCATACGAGCTTTTCTTTTCGAAATTATTTTATCTTTCGATTTTGATAGGTCTCGACGGCGCCGTTGAATTACGCCATTTAGCTACCTCGCCTCCCTAACTATAAGATCAACAAAAGAATGACAGTCATGACAACTGTCATCCTTCGCGAGTTTGATTAATTGCGACGTCATATGCCAAAACGTTTGATTGTCTTTTAATTATGACTTACAAAAATCCTATTGCAAAAATGATTTTGATTTATATGTAAAAAATAATCCTTAACTTTTTAAACGTTACTAAAACATTACTAATTACTTTGTAGTTTATACATATTATATAGGTCGAACAATCATTTTAAACTTACTAACCTTGTATAGTGCGAAACATCACATCACTTCCATTCAATTTATTATGAATTATTTACTTAAAAACAAGACCACGAATACAGTTCGCCGAACATAATATTATGATGTCACCTTGTTTATGAACAAGGCCAATGTTAGCCGTGTAATCTCACACAGAAAGGTGATGTCAGCGTTCAATACTATATTTAGTATTGAAAGTTGACGAAATTATCGAATCATTCAGAGGATATTTGTAATCAGTATGTTACCTTTATATTGTCTCCTAGCCCAGTTCTTCCTGTGGTAAGTTTAGGAGTATTATTCATTTGGGTTGTACGTAAATTAACTGTATTATAATATGTATTGTTGATGTGGTCGTAACTTCAATTTTCATGCCACACGATATCAATAACGGGCTAGCGCGGACGGAAGCTTGTAAAGAACAATCTCTCCCAGCTTAGATCAAACATAAATAATACTTTACGAATATATTTCCATATCGAACCATTAAAACGAAAAAATACCTGACAAATGGTTCCTTTGGAAAACAAAGGTTTACAATCAGACGTATTTTACAACTAAACGCTCTGAGCACACATTGTGAATTTTAACACAGCTGTAGTTATAATAATAATTTATTTATTGCAAGAATATGGTACAAATGCTAGGGGATAATCATAAATCGTTCGCATATTTGCCACACGAAGGGGGGGCGGGGAAATTCGTCCCAAAGAATTTTACAATATTATTCAAAGCCAATTCCTATATTATCACCTATTATATTATATACATTTCATCATTAATTTTATATCATTACGGTGTTTCATGAAAATAATCATTTATTGAATAGTAAACTTTATCCAAAAGCAATTCACTAAGTCCCTTTTTAAAGAATCTAGACGGAAGATCTTTTAATTCTTTTGGTAATTTATTGTAGACTTTAATTGCCATATAAAAGCTGTTTTTCCGAAACAGTTCCAGATTGATTTTTGGCACAGCCAAATTCTTCCCAATCCCCCCCTTTTTACTTCACCAACAAAAAAAACACACCTCCTCCCTAGGTGTGAATTTATGCAGACATTTCGTCTGCATAGTCCTACTTCAGAGGTAACGTTATAATATAAACATTTTCTGGCTTCCTCATATGAACAATAAAAGGTTTCTTACAACTTAGTCAACATTGTTTGAAGTCTGCAAGGTTTTATGGTAATTAAATAGTATGGTAGCATTTCATAGCAATAGAATGCATTTTTTTTATAACAAATAATTGGACTGCAATTTGGCTTAAAAACCTTATATCTAAAATTTATTTATGATCGCTTGTAATGAGAAATGTTATTGACCTGTAACGCTCCACGCTCCGTTCCAGAATACATGGGGCATGGAGCCGTCTGCGTCATTGTGAATTTTATTGATTTGTCTTCTTTACAAAATTATTTGTTTAACCTGTAACCGAACCTAGCCTTATAATTAACGAATATAAATTAAGGCTTACCGATAAGTGATGGCAAAGACACAACGGCTGGACCAGGGCTGGCGGCTTCAGCTGCAATCGGACCACGTCGTTTTGTTGGTGTCCAGGGGTTCTGACGTATTCCCATCAGACTATCACAAGCAAAAACTCTCTTCGATAGAGATGTACGCGAAACGCCGTAACTTGATTGATGATATGCCTGTGAAAATATTGAATACAAATTTTGATTCCTTTATAAATTAAACACTTAAGAAGCACTAAATTCTGCTTTCCACATTCTTTAGTTGTGCCTTAAAGGAGTTTTATCTCTGTAGATAGGACAAAGCGTGTGTATTGTACATAAATTATTAAATTAATAGTTGGATTATGAGATGTTTTAAGTAGCTGTAACTGGACAATAGATTTATTTTATAGAGGACCTTTTTCTGTTTATATCATTATGTATATACGCAACCTTCTATGCAATTACCACTTACAGATATGGCGAAAACATCGTGAGATGTGAGGAAAAATTTACGACTAAACTCATCTAAAGATAAAACAGTAATGTGAAAACATAGGGCTGTAGAAATTCTTAATAAAAATCGGTTATTTTCAAAAAGTAAATATTGATAACGAATTACCGATTTTGCCGAACTGATTGTAGATTTTGTTCTTTTCATGATTGAGGCTTTTGATTCTTTACCGCATAAATAATTAACAATCACGATTGTATAACATCTCAAAATATCCAAAAGAATTATTTTGTTTGATGACAGTTGATCATAAAATGACGGATTTTATCAATGTCAGAAACGATTTTTTGTTATATGCTGAATTCAACGAGTTTATATAAAAATAACAGTTTAACCTAATAACCTAATTTACACTTGTATATATTTTTTTATTTATCACTATACATCTAAGTTTTAATTAAGTCCTGCACGTGAAAGAGCTAGTGCTAAGTTTTTACTATGAACCTTTAGGTGGGAAATCTTATTTTTTGATTAAGGGCTAGCCTCGTTTCTAAGAGCTTAATATCTGGTGAAGTACGTATTCGCTGGTATTTTCACACATTTGTTCCACGCCCTAATATTTTAAAGTGCAAAGGTTTTTTTTTAAAGACAATTCACACCAATTGACCTAGTCCCATGCTAAGCTGGTGAAGCTTGTGTTATGGGTACTAGGCAACGGATATACATACATATTATAGATAGATAGACATATAAATACATATTTAAACACCCCAAACCTAAGCACAACACTAAATGCTCATCACGTCGATGTTCGTCTCAGCCGGGGATCGAACCCGGGACCCATGGGTTCGCAGTCAGGGGTACTAACCACTTGACCAATGAGTCTTTGATGAGAATTTTGTTCATATGTTTGTGACGAATAAACTGAAGCGATTTAAAAACTTATTCACAATAAGAACCCTACATTATGAGTAACATTGCCTATAGTCTCAAAATATTTAGGAAAGTGCCCATCTGAGTCCGCCCCGAAGTCGAACCGCTAGTTCAGATTAACATATCTAGGCATCTCAGTTTAGCATTCTACAAGAAAACAGGTTTCATCAAGAATCTAGAATTAGAAAGCTGTATTTTTCTTGTCAATGTTGATACTCTATAAAAAGTATATGTTTATATTACAATATACTAAATCTGTGACAATAAAAGAACAATAAAAGGAAGATATATATAACCTTTCGTTAGTAGCTGATTTAACTGCTGGCACGATATAGCTATAAGTATCACAATAGAGCGAGGAAATGCTGCCAGCGTTAAGAGGGACTATTTAAATTTGTTTAAATATAATTTTGATTAATTTTTAATTGTTTATTATTATTATGTAGTTTAAGATAATTGTAAATACTTTATATTAGGCCCTTACATATAAAATTGGCGTATTTCGTACTGGCCACTTTAATCACGATGTTCTCCTCTTTGGTAAGGAATTCCAAATTCTAATTTGTACAGCTATTTACTCATGTATTTGTGCAACGATTACCGTCATTCATTTGTTTTTTTCTTCTGTTTTTTTTTGTTTGCGTCACTCATTTTACAAAATGGGAAACTTAAAGTATCGCATTATTTACGAGTACGAGTTCCGCCGTGGCACTAGTGCTGCGGAAACGACTCGAAGGGTGAATGATGTGTATGGCGGTCATGTTGGAAAAGAAAACACAGTTCGTTTTTGGTTCCAACGTTTTCGTTCTGGAAATTTCGACCTGCAGAACAAGACCCGTGGACGGCCTGAGACCCAAGTTGATAATGAAGTATTGAAGGCTATTGTGGAAGCGGATCCATCGCAAACCACGTCCGAGTTAGCTGCAGGCTGCGGTGTTAGTGATACAACTGTTTTAATTTACATGAAGCAAATTGGGAAGATTAAAAGGAAAGATGGGTACCTCACGAATTGACTGAAGCAAACCCAACCTCGCGCTGCGTTACATTACTGACCGACAAAAAAAGGGGGTTTTTTGAACCGAATCATTACCTGTGATGAAAAATGATAAAACCCCCCACGGGCCCCCCCCCCCCCGGGCCCCCCCCCCCCCCCCCCCCCCCCCCCCCCCCCAAAAAAAAACCCCCAAAAAAAATTTTTTTGGGGGGTGGGGGGGGGGGGGCGGGGGTTTTTTTTGCTTTTTCCCCAAACCCGGCCAGCCTCTTAGGGGGGAGGGCGGGGGGGGGGGGGGGGGGCCCCCCCCCCCCCCCCCCCCCCCCCCAAAGGAAAAAAAAAAGGGGGGGGGGGGGGGGCGGGGGGGGCGCCCCCGCCCCCCCAATCTGGCGGCGCCCCCCCTGACTCGTCTATTGTCAGATTAATTGCAAACCATGATGGAAAAAGCTAGCGGCTAAACAACCTGGGGCTGGTCAATCGCTGCCGACGCCACTGCTACTTCACGACAATGCTAGACCACACACTGCACAACAGACGGCTACCAAATTGATTAGGAAGGGCTGCTCCGGTTGGATGTCCAGTCCCCCCCGGACCTTGCTCCAACAGATTACCATTTTTATCGGAATTTGGACAACTTCTTGCAAGGGAAAAAATTTAACTCTGATGGGGCAGTCCAAATCGCCTTCACAGATTTTATTGATTCCCGTCCGACTGGTTTTTTTAGTAAAGGGATCAATGAACTACCTATGAGATGGCAAAAGTGCATAGAAAACAATGGTTCATACTTTGATTAATTAAATATATTATATTTAAAAATATTCGACTTATGTTCCTCCCATACAAAACGCCAATTTCATATGTAAGGATCTAATATATTATGAATATACCTTTATATATTCAAAGACTTATGTTTACTTCGTAATCTATCGAATTCGGGGGACATATTTCGTTGACAACTTTGATGACTAATTGTATCAATCAACAAACGATAGACACGACATCTACTAAAACAGTACCAATAAAATTGGATTTAAATGCATATCATAAAGATTATTATCTAGAACGATTGCACCATACTTCCAAGTATGTTTTTGCTACAACTACGGAATATAACCTTGCAAGGACGGATCCATAGACCATAGGATTAATGACCCCCTGAGACCAGTATGACGAAACTAGGGTTTCGTACTAATGATTAAAAATATAATACCCATGAATTTAAAAGGTTTTAAGTTAAATTTATATTTCTATATGATAGATTTCTGAACCGCGCTTGCGGACGGTCTACGGTTGAAAAAACTGCATTATAAAAACTATTTATTCCACTATATAGAACCACTGAAGTATTACGAACCGATTAGACACAGGGTCCTTTTATTTTTGAGCGTTTGAGCTTCTTTAAAGACCGTCAACACATTGCTGAATTTTCTGGCAGGGATTGACCACGTATCAGCTTAATATCATACGAGGCCCTATCCCTCTAACCTGTTACGGATTACAAAAGCTCGCCAAAGGGCGGATGTTGCGCGTAAAGTGAGTTCTTTCCTATTCTTCCCAAACGCTTTGATTGCATGCAAATAACTATTACCATGAAATAATCAAAACGAACAAAGGTTCAGCATCTTAACTATAGTCGTAAAGTTCAGTTTACGTTTGAAATTTCTTTTCGTCGTATTCGCTTTCTTAAGGCGGAGCATCAGAATTCTATTTCACGCTTACGCTTCCGAATGTTGTTTTTGAGTTATGTCGGCCCAATGCCGTAGCATCTTCCAGTGACCGACTCCATTCTCGCTTCAATTCTTTTGATAATTAGGTGCAAGCGACATCGTAAAATTTCTCTCATCAATTTTTCATAACGCGCCTAAAGAAGTATAACTTCAATAATCAAGCAAATTATTTCGATACAGCAACTACGTATTATTTGAAGCAATTAGAATTACAATTCACAACCCACATTTGATTCCTTTTAGCGACTTCATACGCCCACTACATCTAGTTATGTGACGGAACTGATTTATTATTCTTTGTTTAGATCAGGGTTATAATTGACTCAATAATACAAGTTCTAGATGCGATTTAATATAGTTAACGTAATTTCATATGACTTATTGAAGCTTGAAGTACAATTTTTCTAACAAAATTAAATAATTTAGGAAATGATAGTGCTCGCTCAACGAAGTATCGCACGCAATACAGCCAGGAAATTCTGCCAGAATTAAAGGTGCCACAGGGACTAAACTTTTTAAATTTGTTTTAATTTTCCATTTATCAAATTTTAATTATTATTATTATGGACATTAATGAGTAATTTATGATGTTTGAGCAGTGTTGGACTAGTGGCTTCAGCGTGCGACTCTCATCTCTCATCGGTTCGTTCCCCGGCTAATAGCACCACACCAACGAAGTCTACATATCGCTCGTACGGTGAAGGAAACCGGCATGTCACCCAAAAAGTCGATGGCGTGTCAGGCACAGACTTATTATTATCTACTTGCCTATTAATAAAAACAAATGATAAGGTAATAGATACGAAAATCTGAGGCTCAGAATTAAAGGTTGTAGCGACACTGGTTTTTTTTATTGGTTTATTATTTTTACAATTTAATTTTGTAGTTCATTCCACTCCGACATCCATCAAAGAACAAAATACCTGTGTGACTCCGAGGGCTTAATACAATTTCACCCGTAGAACTCCAACGGAATTAGCATTATTTTTATTAGAATATTTAATTCTTTTTCCAATTACAATCTAGCATATTATACAATAATTATGGCTAATAAGTAATATTATGTTGACTTAGTTTTCTACAATACTAGTGAATAGCTTACACTAAGGTAATGTTCATTAACAGTCTAAGTGTTCTATAACGTTTTCACACTATTTTCGTTTGTCCGAGATACCGCACTTGCACTTATAGTCACTTTAGGTTTAGAATTTAAAAATTTTAATTAATTACTTTTTTTATTAATTTTTATTAATTGGCGCGGCTACATTGAATGTGTAGTTAATTACGACGCATAACAAAGTTTGAAATATGAAGTTTATGGCTTTACAAATCTAGAGCGAAGAAACGAATGGCCCAAATAGGATTTTATTCATTTTTCACGACAGTGACTCGTACGACCTGGCACTAAACCGTTTTTCGTTTGACGAAATTGTTCTTTTTCATATTGTGACGTCATTTTTGCAGGTAAATGTATTATTATAGTATGTTTTGTTCGAAGGACTCTACAACATATATACACACGAACAATACGTATACTCGAATAATGATAATCTGTTTCGTGATTAGTTTCTAATAGGCAAATAGGTAGTATAAAAGTTATAACAAGGCTTTTTTTCTCTCTGTTTGTTGCTATGTTTTAGTTTCGTTCTTTTTTATTAATTGTTTTTTTCTTTTTAGTTTATACGGAATTTAAAATTTGAACTATGATGTAGCCACTTAGGCACCATGGTTAAACCTCTTAGTGTTTGTCTGTTCTTCGTTTATATAAGCAATAATAAAAAAAAAGGTGACAGGCTGAATATGCCGTCGACTTTTTGGATCTAAGGCTTCTAAAGTAAAAATACGTTGTAACCACTTTTCGAATTTATTTACTTTTTGATATTGTTACTCTTGTAGGAAATATATATATAAATTATAATAAAAGGACATTTAGTTTAAAAAAAAAGAGCACTAGCCTCCGGATAATCAGATTTTTGTCTCCCACACTAAACTATACGATGTAAACTCGCATTCGAGGGAGGAATTTGCGGTAGGCGAACTTCTGGATACGATTGTGCGAGAACCGTTTGGTAGGGCGACCATTCCTTGGTCAGACGTACTGGACTGTTTTTAGACGCGTAGATGGATCCACAGATAATGCACCATCTGTTGGTTAATTGTATCAAATAAAAAAACTAGGTACATCATTTTACATATGAACTCTGATGCAAAATTTCAGAGACGCTCATTCACCATATTTCAGTAAATTTATTTTTAACTGTTCATCACTTGTGTCCCAAAGGTTGGACGCTCCTCAATTAAATGTTGTCCATATATTTGCAATTTATATACGGGTCGGAGGGGTTTAGTAGCTGTCCAGTGCGGGCAAACATTGTGTCACCAAGGAGATGTAATATCGCAAGATATATGCGATGCAAAATGGAACTTTTAGTGCGTTCAAAAAGCACATATTTGCGATGAGCGATCGGATAACTCAGACTAACCCCGGATTCGGTGTCGTGGGCAGCTAGTCTCTTCCATTTGACATGTACGGTACCATGTAACGGTACTTGACATATAACTTCTACATACCACTTACATTTTATAATTACACTATTGTTGCACAATAAGTATATTTTACATCTCAGTAGGACAGGTTGAGAAGATGTTGTTTTAGATTGTTATTGAATGTATAAAGTTTTCAATCGTTAGTAAAACTTTTATTTTTAAGAATGTGGTCACAAATGAATACAGTTCCAACTTGGTTATGTACATTAGTTAACTAGATAAAGATGTATCAATTAAGACTTAATTCACGATAACCTGCAAAGTTATAAATAAAGCGTCATTGCTTGGACGTGACCTCAGCGATAAATATTGCATTTTAAAGGTCATTTTGATTGGACTCCAACCATCACTAAAATAACTGCAGTGGCTCATATATACCGTCTGTGTTGGATTTTACAATATTGGTGTATCGTTGTAATAAAATAAAGTGCTTTAAGCGCTGGATTGATTGTTTGGGTTATAGGTCAAATGAGGCAATGTTAAGCTTTATGGAAAAATATTAACATCTAGCGCTTTTTTGGATGCTTTAGCGCACTTTCGTAATTGGAAACACTGGTCAATTGGTCATGCTTATTTTCAAGTTTGATGAGTATCGCATGGTTTGAAGATAGATTTATTACGCCCTTAGGTCTTAGATCGATTCCTAGTGAGCCAATCACACTGAATGAGTAATTACGTATACAATTATAAGCTTATGCAAATGTCTTTGATCAAATGTACACTTTAATCCACAGATTATACAAGGTTTTAACTTTTAAGTCAATCTATATGTTTTGGATTTTTTGCGTCGTACTTGCAAAACATTTATCCATATTCGGCTAACAAGTTTAAAGTGGCGTAAACGAAAAGGAATGTTTGGCAACGAAGAGAAACAGTTAAGTCTTAGGTTTAGATTTTTCTTTATAAAGCCTATTTAAGAAACAAGATTTATTCGGCCATTTAATTTTATTAAGTAAATAAACCATAGACTACTTATTAGGTGTATCTATGATGTGTAAGCCAGAGACATTCTGTAATAGTATTTAGAAAAAGGTAAAATAAAGAATTTATTTGAAGAGATAGATCACCTTTTTTTCTCATAGAAAAGTAAATACTTCTTGGACTCCAAATTACTAGTACATAACTAAAATACAACGGACATGCGAAAATCCTTATTAATTGTCCTATATTCTGTAATAATGCAAAAAAAAATTGTTCACAACCATTCAATACTAACTATAAAATAAAAAATATATAAGAACTTTGCCTTTTGTCATATTTACTGACTCGCCTTTTTGTTGATTCTTATTAAAATAATCAACAAACGTTTTCGTAATCTTAAATGGTCATAACACTAAAAAGTGTAATAAAAGTATTTATATATTAAATATTCCCGTTTGTAAGCCAAAAACGTGTTAATAAAATCATCTTTAATGACACTTACCGTACTGATGAATGAAACAATTATTGATTATTATTAAATAAACAAATTTTAGTTAATTTCGATCAGCCAAGGCTGTCGTCGTAATATCACAAAACACGCCCGAACGTCGCGTTGTACTGCGGTCGAATTATACTTTCATAGTGTATGCCGATGTCGCGTGGGTGCTCTTCCCGCCAAAACCGGTCGCCTTGGTTACATGACGCGTACAAATAAATGTCGTCATCGCTATTAATCGGAAGATTTGCTAAGTTTTAGAGGTGAACACAGATTAATATTGAAAATCAAAGGTAAGATCCATGTCGTATGTCAAAATGTCTCTATTATATGAATTGTACTTGTACTAAGTTAGACTGTATCTTATTTATTGCGGATTGGTTTCCTGAACGATTCTAGAACCAAAGACAACATAATGCTGATTTAAGGCCCTATCCCAGCACGAATTGCTGTGTCAGTGTCTCGGGGTGGACTGCGGGGCGCAGTGGAGAGCTGGAGCACTGAGGTAATTTTATCAATTTTTTTTCTGAAGTGGATTACTTGTCTTGCGATCAAATATATCGTGTAAATTTCAAAATCATGTTCTATATACATTTTCGTCGTAAAATTAATTCAAAGTGTCAAAAATTGGCTATGTTTGGATTTTTTTTCTATCAAGCGAAGGTATTTAATCGTGAATCGATCTTTCAAAATGGATACATAAATTACTCAACTCCACCATATATTTTTTCCATTCTCCCAACTTTAAGAAACGATGACGAAAAATGAAAAGAAACAATGTACTTATTTGGAGTTAGCGACCTGATCGGTCCGTAACTGCGTGTAGCTTATGTTTAATTACATGACTCGAACATTTTCTATATTTTTTGTTTTTAGTGAACTTTTTATTTTAATGTTTTAATATTACTATTATATAAATTATTTTCGCTTAGTATGCGTAAAGATTATTTGAAATTTGTGGGGTTCTGGGCTATTAGGACATCCCCGGTTATAAAACTCCTGAATGGATTTTTTAAAATTTCAGATATTGTTTAAATTCCAAAGATCGCCTATTGTTTCCAGTGGGACTGGGGGCCCTTTATATACATGGGGTCCTAGGCTGCAGCCTCCACACATCAATAAACTAATGCGAACTTTACATAGAATCCGAAAGTTTATGACGGCAACAACCTCATCGCTTTAAGCCACTCGGGGTCCTTAAAAGGCCGTTAACGCCCTCGCGAGCCCTCTGGCATTGACAGTGTCTATGGGCGGCGGAAAAAAGCGATCTACCAATAATAACATAGTATTAAGACCTATTTAGTTTTGAACAACACAAAATGTGGATGAAACCTATAGCCCCAGAGCTAGTGCTTTCCAAAACGAATAAGCATCGCAATACAGCGAGGAAATGCTGCTAGCATTAAAAGTACACTGCCACAGGGACCATACATTAAAATATTGTTTTAAATGTCTATTTATTATTATTACTATGTAGGTTAAGAATATTGTAAATACTGTATATTTGTGTGTGGGAAATAAATATTTATGTTTAAAAATATCTATATTTCTCTATATATCCAACATTTCCTCCATGCGAATGGAATATGGCACATCATGAACTGACGTCCAATTCACAGTGTTAGAACGTGCGATGACATCATCCACTAATTCTTCTCTAAACTCCTGCCATCTTCTTTGGGACGTAAACTCCTTAAAGAGTTGCTTCTTTGTTGGTATCTGTGTAATAAATAAATTAAATTAATTTAACGATATTAGATAACTTTCTGTTAAAAAAGGGCAAAATAATAATAATAATAAAATTATTTATGACAAAAGGGTTATGACACAATTCAATTCTTCACTAGGGAGGCCCTGTGTTGTGGGTAACTGGAAAACAATTATTCCGAGGTACATGGCACATGTTTAAAACAGTTTAAAAAATAATAATAAATTTAGTGTTACAAATGAAGTGAATGAGTGAATGAGTGAGTGTGTGAATGGGTGTGTATGCGCATGTATTTGATAGTGAAGCTGAAAGTTGTTATGATCGTGCACTGTGTCTGTGTTAATTTTTGAAACCTCCAAGTCATGCAAAGATACGTAGTAAAGCCTCTGTAGATTCGAAATCCAATTTGACTTGTGTAATTTCTATGTGATTTGCGTGTTTTTATCTGGATAGTTTGACGATCTCAGAATCCATAGATTATATAAAATCCATATATAGTACATAGAGGTCTTCAGAAATTTGTGAAACTCATAAAAACAAAGGATTATGAAAAATTGGAATATAAAAAAAAACTTCAACCGTTTAGGTCGACTTTGTGTCTCGTTTTTCCTCACGATGTTTTCCTTCAGCGTACGCTCGTTCGTGTCAAATGAAAGCACATAGAAAGTCCATTAGTGCTGACGGGGCTAATGTACTTTCTATGGTGCATGGGATCGAACGCTGACAATAAGTTTGAATATATCCTACAATAATGTATTTAAATTTGTCGCATAATTAAAAGCTTTATTTCTTGTAAATTGTATCTCTTTTTCTATTAAAAATATGAGTACAAATTGTTAGTAGTTTGAACCCCTGATATCCCATTAACCCTGGTTCGACGGTAGCTTTATATTTAATATACCTTTTTCTCCAAATAATGTTCTATTCTTGTCCATATATTAGCTGTGTTCCGCTGTAGCAGCCAAATTTTTGGTAGAAGCATACAATCAACAGGAGTGAGCGCGACAATTCTTCTGTCCCGCATATTCTCACCAAAACCAAAACTTGAACCTGGATTTAACTGGCATACCTAACAAAACAACACCAAATTAGGCTGAGCTTTGCTAAAGGCGCCACTAAGTCCCAAAAGTGATACAGATGTTTTTGTATGAAATTTTGATGTAATTCTTTTGAATATCCGACTTGGGATTGTACTATACAAAAACAGGTCCAGAACAAAATGCTGTTAAAGACGACGAAGAAAAATTAAGTACAAACCTAGTAAGTTTTGTATCAATAAATAGTTTAATTTTTAATAAGTTTTATAATTAAAATCACCTGCATAAAGTATGTACGAAGATTTTGTGGCGGACGTGGTAATCCTATTTTCTCAGAAATAACGCTCAACCTGTGAAATATAGATAATTATGGGTGTATTATCTGTACACTGTAAGTTTATTTTTTAATATCTTCTTAAAAATCGGTTTAGAAATAGTTTTCAAGATATAAAACCTCTTTATTGTTGGAAGTAGTAGCTTGGAAGTTTTTTTAAAGGGTATGTATGGACTCAAGTAATTAATTAATTACTTAATATAAATATATTTAATTAAAATTCCAAGCAATAAATGGTTTTACATATTAAAAAACAATATTTTAAGGACATATTTAAAAAACATAATAATTTTATATTTCTAGTCTGTCAATATCTATCTATGTTTTTTGTCCGCCCAAAAATATTTATTTATCTATTTCTTATAGTTTTAGTAACAATTATTCTTATTTTTTATTTACTATAAAATTTACACACAAATCTTCCAAAACTTCTTCACTTTACTATAACATTATTTTTCCTATTTTGCATCTGAGGCGCAAACTAACTGTTGTGGTCTCTGACAAAATGACCAGCGCTGTGGAGCTTGTCTGCTCCACAGCATAATGCTGAACGCCCTGGTTCATCTAGTTACAACCACAACACACACACACATTACACACTTAAAATGTACGTTATTCCTTTTTATTCTTTCCATATTTTTTGTTTTCTTTTTTGATTATTACTATTACTATTTGGTGTGATTCTGTGTGTTTCGTCAGTAATAAATGTTATGTCTATATATACATGACATAAATTGTTGACGACGACAGATTTTGTAAACGACGTGAACATCACGTGAAAATCAAAATCTGTTTGGCTTGGATTATTACCCTTAATAATTTACATTAAAACAAGAAAATACCTCACTGAAGGCCTTGGCAGACCCTCTCCATGTCCCGACGGAGTCAGAAAATCGCGTGATTTAGTTTCAGTAGATGCACTTTCTCTGCTTGTTCTAGGTTTATCTTCTACAATTTGTACACTCTCGTGTCTTTCGGAGTCTGAAGATCCTCTTTTTGTGGTACTCGAATGTTTTAAAATGCTCGCTCTTACGTCACTTTTAGCGTTTGGGTCTATGGCTTTGCTTTCAACAGAATCACGACCTTCCGTACTCTTGCTCTCTGCTTTCAAATTCTTGTACGCCCCGAAATATTTTGTGTCGAAATCCTGTTCGCTCTCTTCTTTAGGTACCTTTGAATAGGTTTCCGTTTAAACTTTAATTAGTTACGAATGCTTTATCGCCATATTCAAATTTCGATGAATATTGGTGAAAATCGTGGATTAAAATTTTATACTCTCATTCATGAGGTCGTGGTTCGATCCCCGGCTGTGCATCAATGGATGTCTAAGTAAGCGTTTAACACTCGCTCGAACGGTGAAGGAAAACATCGTCAGGAAACCGGCATGCATGCCTAAGACATAAAAAGTCGACGGCGTGTATCATGTACAGAAGGCTGATCACCGACCTGCTTATTAGATAAAAGTTTAGATCATGAACAGACAAGGTTTTAATAGCTACATACACGTTTTAATATGTACTGTTTTCACATTACATACACTACTTTTTTTTTATGACTCTGACACGATTTGTGCATTAGCCAGCGTCAAGTATAGGATTTTTTATAATTCGTGCTTGTCTTTAAAAATTCGACCGTGTCCTCCATGTACAGTTTAAGCAGTACCGCACAACCCTCCCAAAGGCCGAGAACAAATTTAAATTAAATTTAAACTTGCCCTCGAACCGGGAATCGAACCCGGTACCCCTCACCTAGCTGCCACTTAATAAGACCGCTAGGCTATGAGGCCCCTCATACACTACTTAAGCTGTTTCATAAATATGATCCCCATAGACAATAAGAATAAAACAATTCTTAGTGGTCTATAAAATTTTGTAATCTGTGCAATAATACATACATATGGATCGTATAGTGCATAATAATTGCGACCTAGACGCGTCGTAACAATCACTTGTAGAGACTCAATCATCTGACATCGGCCTGATAGGATGAAGTAGACAAAATTGGCGACACCCACGCCATCGCCGAGTAATGTCTCGTTCTCTTCATAGGACTTCATCTTCGCAACTATGCAACCTTCACGACGAGCCACCTACCGAAAATAATAATTAAATTCAAGGAGATCCAAGCGCACAATTCGCGAAATGAGTTGGCAAACGCAGAAGCCTTTTGAAGTGAAACTTCTTTAGGCGCATGAGGGTAAATTTTAACGAAAACGTCACGAAGGCGTGCAGCGTTTTTGTCGAAGAAAAGGGAGAGAGAGAGAGAGTGAGTGAGAAAGGTGAATTACCTTATAGAAACTCACGCACTTTTTTTCTAGATTTTATTTACAATTCACGAAATTTCCTTATAAAAGGTATTTGTCGTATATTTATTCACGCGTTGGTCCTCAATGTCTCTTTTTAAAAGATGAATTATCAACACTTATATTATGGAGGAATTGTTTTCTTGTTGTTTTCGAGTAGATGTTAAGCAGCCTATGTTTATCTACATAAAATAATCCACACTAGTTTAGCTTTCTCTAAACCGCCACGTGTACGAAGTATGCGTCGAACGAGTTATCTTGCATTACCTAAAGTACGTACGAACTACGGCAAAAAAATGTTTACCTACGAAGGCGCACAGCTGTATAATAAACTACCCACAGATATAAAAAATATTACTTCTATCAATTCATTCAAATCGAAGCTAAGTGAATATGTTAAACAAAATTACTTTTAAATTCATATTTCTTTGTTTACTTTTATTTTTAAATTTATTGCATGTACCTATATTTTATTGTAATTATTTTAAGAACGACTACAATGTTATGTTATCTAGAGTATTATTCTCATGTAAGTGACATTTTTTGTCTTTTTTGAGAAATAAAGTCTTTAAACCTAAACATAAATATATAATATATTTAGATATTGAAATCTCACGTAATATAACTAATCACTATATTCCACAACTGTGATACTACGGAACATTTGTTCGTCCTCCCCCGCGATTTAAGCTACCCACTAAGGAGGCTGCAAAACTGGAAGTACTAAAATATTAACAAACAAATGAAAACACTGCCTTAGTCACCTTACCTCATCAAGGGCATCAAAATAAGTAAACGCTGACATTGCGCGTCGCACTTCGTCCCACTGCTTCTGAACAGATGCTTGTAGAACATTCTTGAAGTCTTCCTTCATCAATGCAAGGAATTCGCAATGACCTATTAAAATCGATTGCAAGAGAAACTTAGGGCTAAGCCTCACTCACGTACGTCATAAATGTATGAGATTTTGACAAACAGAAGTCAAAGTTCTCGTTTCCGAATCTCACATTATGTCTCACTGTCAGTGGATTAATGAAAGGATCTTAGTCAGGAAATTTCAAATAAACGCAAAGTTTTTAATGAACGTAACTAAGGTGCTCGTTCTGTTATAACAATATACGGTTACTAAGATACAATATCGAAATAAACAACGTATAGCTGAGTACGAGCTAATCACGCAATTTTAACACGCGACTCACAATTAATTAATAATTAGTAAGTGTAATAGATTATATGTATAACCCGAAAAATTAACACGCTTTCCTGGTAGCCCAATTTGCAAAGTAATAAAGCGGTCTAACGAAAACGTGATGAAATGTTTATTTATTTATTAACACTTCATTGTCTACAGAAATATAGTACAATTGACATAATTAAATGAAAAGGAGGTCAACTAGCGGCCTTATCGCTTTCGAGCGATCTCTTTCAGGTAACCACTAAAGTTATACCCTTAGTATGTAATATAATATGTTGCTAATAATATACTATATTGCTAACCTTTACCTATCTAATACGCTAGGTAATCAAAGGGAAGGCTTATAAGTATACCAAGGGAGCAGTGGAATGGCATTGGTATGGACCAATTTTACGATAAGATATATAATATGATTGAGTTCGAGAGAAAACTTTATTTGAACAAAGTAAGCGACAGCATGTCTAACTTTTGTAATATATAAAACGAAGCCCTTCCAAAACTACTGCACAGAATTTATTGCGATTTTCACCAATATCTAGAATGCTACATAAGGAAGGATTAGGTGTATAATTTTTCTAAGTTCACGGGTCACGATTGCCAGTGCGAAGCCGGGGGAAGTGGCTAGTATTTTTTAATTACATTGTTTATGACACTTGAAGAAATTCGGAGACAAAGACTTATTGCCTTGTATAGGATAATTTAAAATAAGTTAAAAGGCCGGCAACACACTCGCGAGCCCTCTGGCATTAAAAGTGTCCATGGGCACCTAACATCAGATGAGCCTCGTACCTGTTTGTCCTCTGTTCTATAAAAAAAAGTATAACATACCAGTGGTAGTAACTGTCGCGGTTCTGGGTATATTATGCAACAGAGAAACTTCACCAAACATATCCCCTGAGTGCATCACACCCACTTCTATGGACACATATTGCTGTAACAGCTCGTCAAAGACCATTTGACTGACTACAACATCGCCAGTGATGATAAAATAGAGGGCGTGAGCTTCCTGGTGTTGGCGAACTATAGGTCTACCCGGACCATAATACTTGAAATACGTTACTGCAGCTAACTTCTTTTTCACATGCTGAAATGCAAATAGAACAAGGTTAACCATAGAATCTAGAATAGTGTTGCCCAACCTTTTTTTTTGCCATGTTCAACGCCTTTCTAAAATCCCCCTCCCCCTCATATAACATACGTAATATTTTAATAATGAATGGTTGATTAAAGAAAATTAAATGACCGGTTTTTGGAAGAAATTAATAGGTAATTGATAACCAAACAAAGTAAGTAAACTTTTAAAACATATAATGAAAAACTGCAGTTCGAATTTAAAATCATTTTAACAAATTTTTGAACAATCAAATTGCCGCCCCACGTTAGGAAACATTTAGAAGAAAGTCAACAGATCCAAGTCAATAATAAAGACTTTCCTTTTTTGTTGCAAGTTGATTAATAAGTTTGGCTTATTTATAAAATTCTCGTGTCACAATGTTAGTTACCACACTCCTCCGAAATGGCTGGACCGATTTTTATCAAATTTTTTATGCATATTCAGTAGCTCTGAGAATCAGCTACTATCTTTCAACCCCCTAAGTGATAAGGGGTGTCCACTCCAAAAAAAAAAATTATTCTTTAGAAATATTTTTTTGTTTTTATTTTTTTATGACAGCGTAGTATTACAGCATACAAAAATTGATACAACCCCTAATTTTCACCCCTCTACGATCAACCCTTATTTTTTATTATTGTAGATTATTGAACTAAAATAATATTTCCTAGAAATAATGTACATGGCAAAACAAATGTTTGTCGGGTCAGCTAGTATATATATATATATACTGTTGAATGGGAAAATGTTAAAGTCTATTAAGGCTTTCTAGGACATTCAGAATAATTCATTTTCTGTAAAACTAGTGTACTCGCTTTGTTCCACTAATACTAGAGAAACTCATTTGAATTGGATTGAAAAAAGAAAAAAAAAAAAATAAATAAAAAAAAAAAAAAAAAAAAAAAAAAAAAAAAAAAAAAAAAAAAAAAAAAAAAAAAAAAAAAAAAAAAAAAGAAAAAAAAAAAAAAAAAAAGAAAAAAAAAAAAAAAAAAAAAAAAAAAAAAAAAAAAAAAAAAAAAAAAAAAAAAAAAAAAAAAAAAAAAAAAAAATTTTTTTTTTTTTTTTTTTTTTTTTTTTTTTTTTTTTTTTTTTTTTTTTTTTTAAATTTTTTATATATTTTTTTTTTTTTTTTTTTTTAAAAAAAAAAAAATTTTTTTTTTTTTTTTTGGGGGAAAAAAGGGCGGAGGAAAAATATTTTTTAAAAAAAAAAAAAAAAAAAAAATATTTTTTTTTTTTTTTTTTTTTTTTTTTTTTTTTTTTGAAAAAAATAAAAAAAAAAAAATTTTTTTTAAAGAAAAAAATTTTTAAAAAAAAAAATTTTTTTTTTTATATTTTTTTTTTTGGGGGGGGGGAAGGGGAAATTTTTTTTGGGGTTTTTGGGGGCCTTGAAAAAAATTTTTTCCTTTTTTTTTTTTGTCCACTAATACCTCGGAAAGTTAATCATTTTACTAGAGCATTTCTTTGTTAATTAGCTACCAAAAAAATAATTTAAAAAATCCCTTTATTTTAGTTATATTTTCAGTTATATTCCAAAAAATAATCACAGAGACCCATTTGCCAAATCTAATACGTTTTTGACATACCAGTCTTACTCGACCCTAGTGAAAACTATGTCTTCCGTATGTCAAAATGCAATACATCTATGAGACAACACACTATTATCTATTATATTCTCTATTGAAGTAACATAAAGAATTTTTGATCATAAAATAAGCAATACACTCACATTGGGATATCGTTTAAAGCATTTCAAACCTCCAATAATGCGAAATATATACTTCTTCTCTTGGTCAGTCCTCTCTTCTGCAGGCTTATTTAGAAGAGCTTTGTCCTAAATGAAAAACAAGACAAGAATGAATAACGAAAGACATAACCTAGTCCAATGAAAAACGCGCGAAACGAGGAAATAGCTCACGCCTTGTCACGTGATCATTTTCATACAAATTCGCTTAGCGGTAGTGGGTCACGCCAGTCGAAAAGTGATTTTGTCCAAGCCTATTGGTTAACTGCGTTTAGAGTATAGACCAATCATGAACGTCCAATTCCCTTAATAATTAATTAAATTTAAATATGTCGTTATATCACAGAGTTTGTAGTCAGATATTGTTTGAGCGGGATCGAACCCAAACCGTGCTATAGTTGCAGCAGGCGTGTTTCAGTTAACTCTACAACCGTAATTAAGGTATTTGAAAATCACATGTATGGTCAATAACTGTTTCTTCTTGGCTTTCCCGCGCACAGCTTGTTCGACCCTTCGTTTGACGTCATCCAGACCCTCGTAATGATCCACAGCCTCAATCAGCCAATAGGCATTTGACATAACCATACGACCCAATGCGCGAAACAAACATTTTGCTCGAAACTTCCTTTTCATCAATTCTTCAGGATCCTAAAACATCATTTATTATCACTGCCGTGGAAAATAATCCAATAAATGAATATTATTTAAATATTTTTATAGTAATCACCAATTCCTTCTTTGGTCCACCACGCCCAGCCATTTTTATGATTTTTAGAAAAATCTAGCGTTGTAAGTCAATAATAAAATAAGAATTGTGTCTAATTAATAAATATTATCAAAAATAATAATTATTGCGTTTACAGAAATTGAAGCTGTCAAATGACAAACCCATAACCCATAGAGGAAGGAATCAATTTTTTCCTAATTATTGCCCTAATTTAACTTGGGAGATATCTTAGATATTTTTCACTCATATTATTTATTTAATACGTAATAATTTAATTTATAACGAATATGACCGTGTATGAGTGAAAAAGAAGTGTTGGCCTAGTGGCTTGAGCGTGCGACTCTCATACCTGAGGTCGTAGGTTCGATCCCCGGCTGTGCACCAAAAAAATAATTATAACTCGAAAACTACAAAAGATCACGGAATATACATGGGGTATTTTCGTACACCCAGGTGTGAGGAATCTAAAAAAAAATTATTGACGTCACTAGTTGGACGATTCTGTATATAGTTTTTGTAATTCATTGCTTATTTTGGCATCAATAAAAGTAATAAAAGAGTTGAGCTGTTATAAATAATGTTTCAAGGAAACATTAAAAACACAAACAATAATTTTTTGACAAATAGTCATAAATAAAAGTATTATCAAGTACACCTTGTACACTAGGTGGTATGTTTTATTTCAAATTATCCAATAAAATTTCTCTTAATCTTTGTTTTGTTTTTTTAATCCATATTAGTCCATTTATCACATACTTTAGAACAGAGAAGAGACAGTCCAAAAGGTCAAAAAGGCCAGTACATTAATTTTGCACATACAGGCAGTCCTCGTAGGTACTTACGGCATGTTAGGTTCTCAAAATACGCGACGTAAATCGAAACGACGTAAGTCGAGACATATTTTTCGTATGTTTACATGTAAAACTCAAGGGTTAGGATCCACACGGACTTCGAAATAAAAAAAAACTGCATTTATAACAAAGGATATAGGTACATACTTTATTATCAAAAGTAAGTTCCTAAAATAATTATATATGCACTTATGAAATTGCTAGTTATTTTTGATATTTGTGTGTTATACTTGTAGCGAATCGTAGATACGCACTAAAAATGTACATACTCTTTTGTGTAGTATTTTCTCTAGGATTTTGATGTATGTGTTAACATAAAGATAGGACACTAAGGAAAGAAGAAAACAGACGTCACTCAGACGGACTTTGAAGACAAGTGAATATATATATATGTTTTTCTTCCTTGAGCGTTTCTATGTGAATATAAATTAATTACTCTTGTTTGTAAAGAATAAACCAATTAACAAAGATAAGAATGGGTTATGATTTATTACAAGATAGCACATCCCATATACTTTAATATGTTATCAAAATATGTAATAATAAATTAAACTTCGCTTCGCTTCTTGCTTTTGCACATACAGATCTTGGTAACACTGATAGGCTGCACAAATTTTGTTGTTAACGTTGAAACTTCTCTCAAAATTAGGAACATTTTCTTCAAAAATTTTCATAGCATTCTCCAAATTTGCACAAGACAAGTGAATTCTCCTCTGCCGGAAATCGAAACAAATGCCGTATGCTCGAGGAATAGAGTCAAAACATTGTTCGACGTAAATCCAAGCGACATAAGTCGAGGACTGCCTGTACTCGAAAAATTTTGTTTATTTCGAACATTGGATTGTCAAGCTTATTTCTTACTTAAAGGTAAAATGAATCGAGGCTTAAACAAAATCAATTTTCGACAATCGAGACCTACTTACGCCAAATGAATTTATATGCAGATAGTCACGTGATAAAGCGTGAGGAAAATAATGTCCTTAGTGGGCACGCAAGTCGCAAAGTTTTTTTGATTCCTCGATCCGAACTCCCTTTAAAAGATGCGATGATGATTATGCCAACGATGTCTTACAGGTACCTAGTGCATAGCATATTGTGGGCAATTTAGAACGGAATCAATTGGGATATCAAAATATTTTTCTAACGTTTATTGAGTCTTCAATAACTCTCTAAATTTCTAGATATTGTTACGCATATTTCAATAAAAGGAAAAGGGTAGTAGTAATCGTCTTCAAGAACTACAAAAATTAAGTTGAGACGCAAAATATTAAACGACAGACTACGAGGCAGACTGCAATACTTAAAAACCTCTTGGATAATAGTCTATACGACTACTTTATGTATACTCTTGTCTCTTACTCTGTGACCTTTGTATACACACAACAACCTGCAAGTGAAGCTTCAAAATAGTAGAAAATCCAATTGTTATTTGTAATTAATGGTATTGTCGTTAGCGTTTTTAGTTTATAACATTGTACATTATTTAGACAAAGTGTAGACGTTTTCCTTATTTATTACTAATTTAATGGCGAAAATGTCTCGTAAGCGTGTGGCTAATTTCACACCCGACGAAAAGGCAGTCTTAGCTCAATTAGTACATAATAGGCCCGTCATTGAATCCAAACATACCGATGGTAAAACGATACAAAAGAAAAAAGCAGCTTGGGAGACATTAACAGTGGAGTTTAATTGCAAAACACATGTGCATCAGGTTTGTCTTGCAGTCAGGTAGAAAGTGTTTCGCAAATTTTGTCTGTTGAACTTTTAGTAGATAAACAAAACGTTTGTTTTTAAACATTATAAATATCTTTTACAGCGTGATACTGGTACTTTGAAAAGGGCTTGGGACAATATGAAAGCCCATGCTCGAAAAGTAAGAGCTAGCCAATGTGGGGAATTAAATGAGACTGGTGTATCAGATTTTAAGAAGTCACCCAAAGACGACCTCATCTATCCCATGGTTGAAGAGGTAAGGCTATATATTAATTATTAAAGTGAAAAACATAATAATTTCTATATAATATTAATTATATTAATCTTTCAGGTGGAACCTCTGAAATTTTGTGAAATTACCAACTCTGTTGATAGTGATGGAGTTTTATTAAGTTCTAATGATGAGTCACAAAATGAAAATACTGATCTGATAGGTTAATTCCTTATTAATAACTATGTAGTAGGACATGCATGTAGTACCTATTAGCATCTGAATCCTGAGTAGAGTAGATTAATTTAGTATAGATGATTTTAATCATGTAAAATCAAATTTGTATGCTTATATTTATTTCAATGTCCACTAACATTTTTAGAACCCAATGATTTGGACATAATACACCACCAAGAACAGGAAGCTACTCCTGTGTTTACGCAAGGTTATTCTAATGATGTGAAGAGTAAGCATTTGAAAACAGCAGACTATATCAGGAAAGAAGCTATAATTAGAATCAAACACTATGAAAAAAAGAAGAGAATGGAAATGAAAATTTTAGAAGCACAAGTAATTATTTTCCCATTATTATTAATTTAAATATAGTTCCCTTATAAAGCCTGTCAATAGTGGCATTAAAGTCAAGTCAATGAGAGCCTTTTTTTGAAATTGAAGCTGTACTAGAAATGTTTTCAGGTGGGGTAGTAGTAACCTTGTTAAATTTTACAAGGACTCAGGTTTATTTGTACTCTGCACCGCAATTTGAATTAGTGCTCTCCTTGGTACTTCACACAGCCTCAGTATACTTGGTCTTGGCATATCAAATAAGTCTCCAATTCCACACTCACCGAGATGAAAGAAAAAATTGTTGCCTTAATTTTTATGACATCTTTTTTTGTAGTTGGAGACAGCTGAATCAGAGAAAAGAACTGCTATCATGGAAGAAGAGAGAAGTAGAATACGTTTAGAGATATCAAAAAAGGAACTAGACAATTTAATGCAGACTACAAGAACTTTCCCTATGTAGGCAAGTAGTAGGTCAACCTTATGTGCCTTTCAACTCAAAACAATTATTGTTTTTCAGGAATCAAACCAAGAGCCTCAAGTTACATACTATGTATGTTACTAAATTTTATATAATACTATTATTTTTAATTTATTTTATAAGAATTACATTATGTGTAAGAAGTATTTTAAGAAAAATATGAATGAATTTTATCTATTTCTTTTATTTACTCAAAATATTTGTCCACAAGTGTTTGTCTAAACAATGAGCCAGAGTTATTATTTTCTTGTGACAAATCCAAATCAACTAATTCCTCATCACTATTTAATGTTTCACATAATTGCAAAGAAATATTATGTAGTGTTGCACATGCACAAACAACAGCAACCACAGTTTCAATTTTAATTGCCATGCCCTCTTGGAGGCATGGAAACTTTTTTTTCCAGACATCAAATGCCCTTTCCACAACATTTCTTGTCATGTTGTGACTCTGATTGTATTTTTCTTGTGCATGTGAATTTGGTGACAGAAATGGTGTAAGTAGGACATTGCTTACAGAATAGTCATTGTCACCAAGTAAAACACCCTGAATGTTCCCTGAATCAAGTTGTTGCTTAAGAGCACTGTGGTTATAAATAAAACTATCATGAGTGCTTCCAGGCCATCGGGAAACCATATTGTAGAATTCCAAACTTGGTCCTATTACTGCCTGCACATTGATTGAGAAATAACCTGTGCTATTTCTAAAAACCTCTGAAGATAATCCACCAGGGTTTTTTATTTTAATATGTGTACAGTCTATACACCCAATTACTCCAGGAAAATTAGCAATATTGTAAAACATGCGTCTGAAACAATATGTTATTTGTCTAATTAAATTTATCTTTTTACTAATCAAATTGAATTAAATATAAAAGGAGGAATAATGAGGGTATAAACTAAATAGTACTTACTTTACTTTATTAACATCTTCAAATCTTGAGGGAAATTTAACAAATTTTTTCATTTTCTTTGCTAAAGCATTTGCAACTCTAGTGACTATACGGGACATTGACTGTTGGCAAATATTCATATCATTGCTATCAAGTTTCTGTGAAGATTAAATACAATACTTGAAACATATAAAAGTGAAAGTACAAAACTTTCTTTATTAACCTAGGTATAATGAATTAACCTGAAAACTACCAGTTGCGAAATATCGTAATGTTAATAAAACCATGATTTCAGGAGGAAAAGGCAATCCCCTCCTGGAGGTGGCTTTTAGATCAGGCTCTAATAAAGGCATTAGAATATTTTTAACAGAATTTTGAGTGAACCCAAATCGGGAATGAAATTCAGCAACGCTATATTTTTCAAAGGGATTTGAAAAGTCACGTAAATAACATCTAGGCCCTGATGCTCGGTGTTTTCGTGAATACTCATAAAATTCCACAAAGTCATCGAGGTTTTCCATTTTATTATATTAAATATTATATGTATATTGAAATTACAATTCACGACTAAATGGCTATAATAATTTCGCCTGTAAATTATATTAGGATACTTTAATTAATCATTATCTCCACTGGTATAAGAAAGTAAACAATCATAGATAATAAACTATATACTGTAAACAATAAACATAAAGCACTAGCCAAACTTCCATCAACCTACAGTCTACACAACATTTGAACACATGACTAACTCATCTGTGGTCATCAACCGATTTCCTAATCAATCTGGATCAACTTTCAACTGAATTATAGACTATCTCGGCTGCATTTCCAGCCTCGGGGGCGATCGTCAACATTAATGTTTTAATGTTAAGTGGGAGCAAACCGTGATCCATGTGGTATCAAATTATTTGAGAATACATAATTAGTATTATTATTATTTTCTTATGTAGCCAAGTTCACATTTCAAGGATCGTCATGGTCGGAATAGAATTTGTGTATGCGGTGATGTTAGTTATTTCGACTATGTATTTGCGTGCTGTTACCTGTTCCCACGATTATGTAAGTGCATCCTACTATTTCACCATGCCTACTGCTGATAGAGGACAAATCTTTATTTTATTCTGTTTCATGTGGAACATGGTGTAATGGTTGCAGCTCCTTTCAAACATTGTGTAAAACTTGGCGATTAAAAAGAGAGGCGGAGAGTTTATTGCCAGTTCTTCTCTTCCGTTCCCTTGATTTGAGAACTGGCAGTAAATGTAAAATTAGAAGAATTTAATATGTATTTCTTTTTGACGTTCATAAGTTAGTGTACATTGTGTTACCTAAATGAATAAATGATTATGCTTTGATTTCAACTTTCTTTTAGCAGTTAATTAAGTACGATCTGGAACTTTCGTCTCTGTACGTTTCAAAGGCACTACTTACTACTAAATGACTATATTTCTGTAACTGTAATACTTTAGACAAAAATATTTTCTAAGAACAAAATTAATGTAACTTCCGTCTAATGAAGTCAAATCCCATGGCATATGAATAGGCAAAACAAAAACATGAAATAAATTTTGGTGCTGTTGTACGTTTAATGTCACACTCAAAGTTGTCAAATGTCGCATCACCTCAAACACACATTTTGTACCGCTTCAAACTCGTTGAGGTATTTCAAACGCGGGCTAGGCGCTGAATGTGATTGAGGCGGTGAGTCGTATGTCATGAATGAGTGAACGGTTGAGATGAATTGTTTTGTCTTATTCTCCCATCCCAAGTAGGACAATGACAATAGTTAAAAATCGTGTCTGATGAGCAACTGATTAAATCGATATTATTGAATGAGTGACGGTGACTGTTCACTGTGACATATTATTGTAATTGGTTTTTGTTTGCATAAATAACTTGACTTTTTGAAGTTATACTTCTTTAGGCGCGTTATGAAAAATTGATGAGAGTGAAATTTTACGATGCGCGCGCACCGTTACACAAAATTAACAGAATGAAATTGCCCACGGAAGATGCTACGGCATTGGACATAATTTAAAAACAACATTCGAAAAATAATATAATTAATGTTAGACTTAATGTAAGAGATTAATAATAAATATTTATTTATTTAATTTTTCAAATGTAAACTGAACTTTATTGACTGTAATGACTCCTTTTCCAGTCTTTGATTATTTAATTGTAATTAATTATTTGCTTGCAATCAAAAACTAATTTTAATAATGCCAAAGAAGTATAACTTCTTACGCGCGTACATAAGTAAGTACACGCACCCTTTTTTATTTATTTTTTTATGATCGAAAGACCTGCGCCATAGAGACAATGGATTCGTACATAAAGGGACTAACAGTACAGAACAGAATCCTCAAATGAAGTGGTACAATGTATTAACTCATTTTATAAAATGAGGTGGGACATACAAACACTTCAATTTCGTTTGTCCTACCCATCACTAGTCACAACTCACACAGGTTGCAACGCATTTTTGAACCTTGGCTAATCTCCAAGCGCAACAGTATTTTGACAGTTTGTCAATTATCATTTGTCAGCGTCTGTCCAAGTGTATTCAATGAGTTGCTAAAAACTAAAAATTAAGTTCCAAAATCTCAATTGTTGAATTCCGACTATTGTATTACTTTTCAGTGATTCCATAATAGAACAATAGTACGAGGTTTATTTCTACTATTACTATAATACTGCATCAACAGACATCATGGTACGACCAATTATAAATTTCTCTTTTAAATAAATTTTTCGCAATTCACCATTTTTATAATGATATTATTTTTACATTTTCAGAGTTTCGGTCTTCCCTCTGTGAAAGTTAAAGCAGAGCACGATGCTAATTTGTGCAAACCTATTAATGAAGGATCTTTTGGTGTACCTGATCCTATGATCGCCGGCTTGACTTCAACCCGACACAAGTTGGCTGTAGCACATCCTCTTCAAGTATCTGAGAAGAATGTAAGGCCTAGAAAATTTAAGATATACGCTACAGAAATTATTTCGCAAGGATCTATCCTCCAAAGTCCTCTCACTATATAAAATACCAGCTTTTCTATTATTCAAATTAAGACAATAAGTGTTATGAATCTTCATCAAATTTGCAGTATGCAGTTTTTAAGTATATTACTTATACATACACAGACATATTAAATATTGTATGTGCCAAGGCTGTACAGTACATTGTTTTTATTGTCGAAGTTAGGCCCTGGGAGTATATACAGAAATATGCACTTATTTCAGCACATCTCATAGTATTAACTAATGTTGTACCCATGTGGTTATTATAGAGTCAAAATTATATCTATTATTTAAAACTTCCCAGTGACCCATAAAATCTATATATTCTTCATATTTAAACATGGTTCCTGATTGTTAGTAATTTAGTGTTTAAATTTTTGCATTTGATTTTGACTTGATTCTAAATTATGTTAGAGAATAATATATTGTTCTGGCTTCAGTATTACCTCAATGAAGAAAAGATGAACATGGCAATGCTAAGAAACATCCAGGGTCTTCACGCTCCTTTAAAATTGTCTATGGAGAAAAAGTTTTCCAGCAAGGTAAAGACTTAGCTATGCTCTTACAAGCAATTTATAATAGTTTTTAAATAAAGCAAGCCTAATGGTAAAAACCATTGAAACCAAACTTTGATGATATTATATTATTATTGTGTTGATAAACATTTTTACATTATTTTATCTTTATATTGTCTAAATATTTTTGCTTTATATGATTTTTAAAATTTAAAGTATTGGGAGTCAGTAAGTTAAGTTGTATGTTCTATGTTTTTTATTATACCCCAAATGTGAGCTCACAATGGCTTAATGAAATGTGACAAAAATATAGATTCAAAAATTATCTTTAAATGACTTCAGCTGGTTCCACAAACACAGAAAACTTGTAATTTTATACTATTTGGATTTTTTTACAGGTTGGTCGATTACCATTCTTGTCAAGCTCAAATTTTCAGTCCGAAGTGCTGACTGGAAGGTACTTAGACATTGGTTTTGAAGATATCCTCAATGTACCCGAGCTCTGTGAGGTCGCTGGACAACCACATGCAGTTGTTGAAAGGTCTTTAGGCATACTGTGATTCTGATTTAGGGTACATATACATTTTAAATAAAACATTTAAGAAGAAAACTAATTTTCATTTACAATGTCTAGAATTCTTAGTTTACATATTTTTTTGACTTCATTTATTCCGGTTTCGATTTCTTGATCTCGGGAATTCAGTATACGACTATTTAGTCCATCGATTATTGATTGTACCTTATTTTCCCTTGCGCAAATTATAAACGGAAAACCGAATTTTAATTTGTATCTGAAAAAAAAACCACTCATGAATCCATTTTAAGTAATAGGTACCTACCTTAAAACGTAACATTCTAGTAGTGTTATAATATATAGTTATACTAGCTGACCCGGCAAACGTCGTTTTGCCATGTATATCATTTATAATAAAAATAGGGGTGATCGTAGAACGGGGAAAATTAGGGGTTGGTAAAAATTAAAAAAAAAATTAGGGGTGGACTACCCTTAACATTTAGGGAGATGAAAAATTGATGTTGTCCGATTCTCAAACATCCTATATGCACACAAAATTTCATGAGAATCGGTCAAGCCGTTTCGGAGGAGTTTAACTACAAACACCGCGACACGAGAATTTAAATACATATAAAATTATAAAGTATCAAAATAAGGCTGACAGATAAGCTGTAATACAATTTATATATTTGACACTGATGTTAAGGATCAATAGGTGGCGGCTGTTTCTAATTATTAAGAATGAATATAGCGCCATCTTTTATTATTTTGATGAATCAAAGTTCTTAAATGAAATAGATAAAATAATGGGTACCACGCCATCTATTGGTAATTCATAACTCGACAAACCGATAATATAGTTAATTACATAAATATTAATAGAGTGTGCTAGTTGTCGTATTTCATGCTAACATAATTTGGTTAATTAATGAAAATTATGTAAACTCAGTAATATACGTAAATTTAAGATTATTTTGAAAAATTAGAACAAAAGTTTGTTAGACTTAGCCGAATGATAACTAACCGTTCGTTACATGCATTTATTATTGATTTCTGTTCTGCATTTATTTTATCCAACCCAGCACTTTTTTGCTCTTCTGTAGATTCCTTCGTTAGCTCACCGAGAACTGCTAGGCGTCCTGCCAGATCCGGGTGTGATTTGAGTATTACTAACTTTTCTAAAACAAATACTTTATTATAGATCCAATTTTAAACTATTTTATATGGTTATTATAGGAATTTCCCTTCTGTATTGTATCAGTGATTCACAGAACTACAGTGAAATTAACAGAAGTATAACTTTGTGTTATCGATTACATAATAATAAGTGGAGTACCTATCTACCGCTACAACGGGAATGTAAGTATTACGTATATGTTTACTCGACCTGGAAATCATGGCTACCCGGAAATTAAAAAAAAATCCGTACGCTTAGTTATTATCAGCTTTAAGTGACTTATTAATATATTATAAAAACTTCATACAGAAGCATAGGCAACCTAGAGATACTTGACTGTTGGCATTCGATATTTAAAATCTCAAACAACATAAAAACAATATTCTTCAGCTACGTTTTTCTCTATTATCTTTTCTCAGTGTTGTCGTGTTACAATTATGACAGAGTTATAAATATTCACCTTCAACACTAAGATTGTCCAAATATTTGTGGAACTCGGTACAAAGGTCGGCTAATCTGTTGAAAGGGCGTTTTTTCTTTACCCACACGGCGGCGTCTTCACACAACTCTATGACATTCCCAAACACCCACACAAAACGGTCATCAGGCATAGAATTCACTTCAGGCACACTATACATTTTGGATCTGAATGCGTACTGAGATCGACATGGCAGCAAACATTGAGTCATAGGTCATTAGTTCAAATGATAGTGGACGGAGATAATGCTTATTACTCGTCTCTTTAGAGCGATAATAATGAATACTACGTCACCGATATTTACGGGTAAATCTCTATACATATTTTGTCTGTACACCCTTCCATTTATATACGATCTTTAGGTCTATGACATGTCGGTTTCCATAACATTCAGAGAGAGAAAAATCGCAATGGTGCAAAATCGGGACTCCCGCGGTTTCTTCCAAGCACTTCTACAACTGGATGTTTTTGAGGGTTACCACTTTCGAAGCATCTGTATCAAAGTTTTTCCGAATCAATTCGTATTTCCCTTTAAGGAAAGAGCATTTCAATATCCGCATTTACGAGGCAGTGTCAATGGGTACTTAACACCATCGCAACTGTTCGAACGAACTAAATTCTTTTACTATTATGAACGGAATTAAAACATACTCATATTTATGTTCAAAAAGAAGTTCTAGCTTTTACACTCCTAGTTCCTACACACTTTTAATTAAGAAACGTTTGGTATTTAAAATTATTAAACTCGTTAACACATTACCATAATATAAACGCAAAAGTCCAAATAAATTAGATAGTTTAGCGCACGGTAGCCCCTCGCTAGGTCGAAACAAAAGAACTGTAAGGGTAGGTAGGTACCTATATTTTCTCGAAGAGCTTTGTTGGATATTATCTATACCTATGGCTCACTAGGGACTGAGGAGTAACATTTTTATGAATTACAATTATTTTATTATTACATTTTAAGTAATTGTAATAAAAGTGAGGCATATTAATTGTTATAAATGATAAGTTGGTTTTCGGTAGGTAATGTATGGGTATTTTGAGAGATCGGAGGGTAAAAGAATAGACACTAGAGTTAGATACTTACCGCCAAAACTAGTGTCTAGTGTGGTCGTATAGTGGTAGTATCTAGGGAGTAATCTCCCATATGCCAAAGTTAGTGCTAAATCTAGTTGGAATTTTACCCAAATCCATGAATAGGTGGTTTGTGGTAAAAAAAATCAATTATATTAAGTACATATTTTTGCTTTCTTGCTTCTAATATTTAAAAAAATATTTTTTTAATAAAATCATTTAATATTATCGTGTACACTATATTGCCTTTAAAAATGTAATACAGACTACTAAAGAATTATCAGCTTCCTACTGAAATTTATTCAAAAAACCGAATTTCCTTCCGTAAATCATAGAGTAAAGAGGAACAAACGCGACATTTATGTGTCAGTTGTATTGCACGGGGGATAAATCACATTGCTAAACCGAGATGGCGCTAACTGCCCCTTGGGGAACGCGACGCGGCAAATTGTCGCGAGGGAGCACTCAACACCACTCGCAGTATGAATGCATAACCAATTTCTCTGTTTCAAATTACAAACCCAGATACGAGTTTAAAATTTAACCAAAGTTTTAAACGGTACATTTATTTGACATGTTTTTAACATAGATATTACAATTTTATATTGAAACTGTCCTTGTTTATAGCCTACTGGTATTAGCGTGCGACTCAGAGGGGTAGTTTTGAATCCCGGCCACCACCAATGGACTTTCTATGTGCGCATTTATCACTCAGTGAAGGTAAACATCGTGTGGAAACCGGCATGCGTTAGACTCAAGTCGACGGCGTGTCAGGCATAGAAGGGTGACGATCTACTTGCCTATTGGAACAACAAATGTTCACAAAACAACTAAAAGATCGCTACTGGCTTTATGTTATTGTTAATAAAGCTTCTGTTCACATATGTCAGACTGTAGATAATAATAATGATGAAAAAAGCCCTAGCATCATTATTAAGAAGGTAACATAATAATAACTTTATTTAATGCAATTTATTTATATTACTTATAATTACCTCATGTATAAGAGTACTAAGTAAAAGTAAAGTAAAAAATCATTTAATCCTATAGGTAACATAATGTACACTTATGACTTGTCAGTAAAGAAATACATATTAATGCTTCTAAATGTAAATTTACTGCCAGTTCTCAAATCAAGGGCGTTAAACGGGAGAGAAGAACTGGCAATAAACTCTCCGCCACTCTTTTTAATCGCCATTTTTTTGTTTTACAAAATGTTTGTAAGGAGCTGCAACCATTACACCATGTCCCATGTGACATTTTAAGTAACATTTACTGAACCCTAGGCTCCGGTTGAAGTTGTTTAATGACTTATCAAAACACGTAAAAGCGTGCACATTTTTTAATGTAACGTTCCAGTTAACACAATAAAAATAAATACTTTATTTATTTAATTTTATGTTTTCTCTCAAACATCACACATGTTGAAATGAGGACAAAAAGATACTTATGACAATATGTTATAGAAAGGATATACACGTGTGAAAATAACATGAGAACTTGAAGGCGCAGTGCTAACCAGATCTATGCAACTTCCTCACAGTAGAGCCTGCAATATCGCAGTACACAACTCACGCATTGTATTGAAGAAGTTGCATGCGTCCGCCAAGCATCCGCGAATATACAATGTAAATACTTAATAAAAAAAAATCGACATCACAGGAGACCGAAGATCTGGCAGCTACCTCGGACAAAGAATTAGTCTAGCAATTCAAAGGGGGAACGCTGCCAGTATCTTCGGAACCTTGCCTAAAGGGACTCCTTTTAATGATATATTTTAGTTTATGTTAAGTTTCGTTATTTATTTCAATGTATATTATTTTATTATTATTAGTTTATGTTTATAAGTTTAATTTGTAGGTTATAAATTGTAATAGTTTTTTTTAACATTTAATACTTAATTATGTAAGAATAAAGATAATTTATATACCTAGTACCTATCTACGTGGTAGCGGCAAAAATGGCTTTCAAAATGATTAAATTACCAATTCATCTCCTCAATTATGATAACAGTGATATTTAAAGGTATAATTTAGCCGTGTTATATCTTAACACGTGGTGCATATGAGCCCCAGCTGGGTACCAATTTTCTATACGCATTCTTGTTCATATGGTGATCGTAACCGTCGTGAGGAAACCAACACATCTAATGCCCAAAAAGGCTTCTTTATTTGCTTAGTTCAATAATCTCTTATAAATCACATTTTGTGCTTTATACTTTATACCGTTTCGTAATAAAACTATAGATTTTCGCAATTTTTGTCAGTTCTTTTACCTTTTCAGACATTTTTTGTTATAGGCCCTGCAAAGGCCCCAGGGGATTTGTGACCCCATGTACCTTTGAATTTGCCCATGTATACCTGAATTATATTAAATTACTAGCTGACCCGACAAACGATGTTTTGCCGTGTCTATTATTTCTAGGAAACATTTTTTTAGTTCAATAAAAATAACTATCTACTATAAGAAAAAATATGAGTTGTTGATAGAAGAGTGAAAATTTAGGGTATTTTTAAATGCCACATAAAAAAATATGTTATAATTTTTTTTTTGGGTGGTCACCCCTTATTACTTAGGGGGTTTGAAAGATATATAGTAGCCAATTCTCAGACTTACTGAATATGCATAAAAAATTTCAAACGAGTATGGGAACGAACATTGTGACACGAGAATTTTATATATTAGATTTTAAGTCCTCAGATTGCAAAGAAAACCGGAAATTACGTCAAAGCTTAAAGTGTCTGAAGCGAGCACTAACTGTATTTTTTATCGATACTGGATAATTTATTATATTGAAATATCTATCATATCCTGGCCTGCGTTAACATAAGTACACACGATTATATAATCGTATTATAAAACGTATTTATAAAATCAAATAGCAATTTTTGACGTCTTTTCTTCTAAAAGGGGCTTTTCTGCAAATTTTCTGCATTTCACCTGATGATAAGAGATAGGTACATAGACACTTACATTGCCAACGGCCTCGCAAGTGCGTTGATGTAAGAATTGGTACGCTCTTGAAGGACCCTAAGTCGTATTTTTTCGGAAAAACTTTAGTGGGCAGTTTCCATATGATAGTGGTGCGCGGCAAAAACTGACTAATAAAACGCTCAGTTGTTGATTGATGGACGTCGAGGTGATATGGGTGGAATTTCGTATTCTGCCATGACTTCCGATGATGAGTCTTAGGAAAAATAGGAGGCTGATCACTGTCATTTATTATTTTTCTTCATCGTTCGAATAATTGTTTTACCGCTATTTATGGTTAGTTTGGTTGTCATAAAGATTTCAGTTGAATGCAATACTTTGCTAATTAAATGAATCTGGTATCTACAAGACACACGTCACACACTTCACGAGACTGATGAACGACCTCCAGTAATGTCACTAAAAGTAGAAATGAATTCTATTACTACTTTAATAATTCAAACATCTGATTGGGCCCAAAAATGCAAAATATTCCCACATTTGTTTTCACTATAAAAAATTATGTAAAATTATTAATACATATATATACTGTTCACTCTTTATTTCATAACTCATGTAAAGTGGTACACGAGCCCAAGATTTAAGATTCATGTGCTCAACGGGGATTATCAAATACCGCCACACCATCTTTTTTTTGCTTTCAAGATCGTTATGGCGTAGTACTCATATTTGTCTAATCCGGTAATATGATCCAAGACCTAATGATATGTACCAATGCACTAGATGGAGCATTATTTGTGTAACAGATTAATTCTTATACGAGAAAATTAATTTGTATATCGTTTGATTAGATGAATTAGGTTTATTGCTCCAACATTTTAACTAAATTTAGATTTCGTGTACTCTCTAGATTCTCAGGCATCCCATTTGTCCTTCAAAATAAAGCGTTATATCCACAACTCACTGATATCCAGACGGAGCATTCTGATAAAGGAGCTGGGTCTGGATATCCATAGCCCCTCGCACTTTGGAATCAATTTTCCTTTAGCGTTTATAATTTATGATATTATATTTTTATTCTTTGTGTTTATTATAAGCCTATAAATGCTTGTCTTGTTTACAGATCCTTGTATACCTAGCCTTGTCAACCTGATCTGTTTGACTTTATGCTAACGTTTTTGACATCGTCGTCTGTGAATCTGA